ACCAGCCAGGCACCGTGGTGGACCAGTTCACCGTCTGCAATGCCCATGTCCTGTGCATCTCCAGCATCCCCGGTGAGTGCCGCCCCACAAGAGCCAGTGCCCAGGAGGGAGTGTTTGTGCTGCTCAGAGGACAAGGAGGATGTTATGTAAGGAGACTGGCAGGGAAGCACCTGCCTCTGTGACACCCCATGGGCACGGGAGCTGGTGGGGGAGTGTGCGAGGAGGGCCACGCTGGTGGCCTCATCCTGCTTAGTCTTAAGGACACAGGAGATGCGATGTGCTGCTCACTGATTAGAAGCAGGTGGGATGGCACCAGCAGGCGACCTCCATTCCCTCCGTCACACCCCAATGGGACATGAGCTCTGGGTGTGGTCTTGCAGCGGCCAGCGACAGTGACTACCCTCCCGGGGAGATCTTCCTAGACAGCGACGTGAACCCTGAGGACTCTGGTGCGGATGGGGTGCTGGCCGGCATCACCCTCGTGGGCTGCGCCACACGCTGCAATGTGCCGCGGAGCAACTGCTCCTCCCGAGGGGACACCCCAGTGCTGGACAAGGGCCAGGGTGAGTCCTGGGCCTGAGCCCCAGAGCAGCCTTCTCTCTGCCCCCCTGTTCCTCTCCCTGCCCAGCCAAGCTTACCTCTCCCTTCCACAGGGGAGGTGGCTACTGCCGCCAATGAGAAGGTCAACCCTTCACAGTCCACGGAAGAGGCCACAGAGGCCACAGAAGTCCCTGACTCTGGGCCCAGTGAGGCAGAGGCAGCTGCAGTGCGGCCCGGGCCCCTCACGGAACACGTCTTCACCGACCTGGCCCCTGCCCCACCCCCCAGTGCCCAGCCTGGCAGGTGGGCCTCTGAGATGGGGCAGAGACAGAGGGGAGGGAAGGCTGACAGGTGGGCAGGGATCGGCCTCCGTGGGCTATCCTAGAGCCATCGTTCTTCCTGCAGTGAAAATGGGCCAGAGGCTACCTCGAGTGATGTGCAGCCCGAGCCTGAGCCCAGTGGAGACCCCAAGGGGGCCAGCAGCAGTGCCTCGCCCACCATGTGGCTGGGAGCCCAGAACGGCTGGTACGTGGGGCTCTGGGGGCAGGAGTGGGGCAGGGCCCCTGGGCAAGCCCCTGCCTACCTCAGCCTTCTTCTGCAGGCTGTACGTGCACTCGGCCGTATCCAACTGGAAGAAGTGCCTGCACTCCATCAAGCTGAAGGACTCCGTGCTGAGCTTGGTGTATGTGATTCTTAGCCGAGAGCTAGGCATCAGGAGGGGGCCTTGGACGGCCCAGCCTGAGCCTGGCTCACCACCTTCCCATTCCAGGCATGTGAAAGGACGAGTGCTGGTGGCTCTGGCAGATGGGACTCTGGCCATCTTCCACCGCGGCGAAGGTGAGGCCTGGCAGCAGTGGGCAGGTGGGCGGCATCTGATGGTTCTGGCAGGGTGTGAACCACACTCACTGTGAGCAGTTGTGGAACCTGGCCAGGCCTGAGCCGGTGTGGTGGGCTCTGCAGATGGCCAGTGGGACCTGAGCAACTATCATCTGATGGACCTGGGCCACCCACACCACTCCATCCGCTGCATGGCCGTTGTGTACGACCGTGTCTGGTGCGGCTACAAGAACAAGGTGCACGTCATTCAGCCCAAGACGATGCAGATAGAGGCAAGTACTGGTGGTAGGGGCTTCAGGGAGGGAAAGGGGCTTTTGCTGTCAGCATTGCTCCCAACACACCTTCTGGTAGATGTTGGGGGCTCCATGGGGTCAGAGGAACTGCATTCAGGGAAGTGACTCATTTGTCCAAGGTCACAGGCAGGGAGAGGTGGCTGGACTGTGAATGCTGGTCTGTCTGGAGCTCACCTGCTGCTTCGTTCTGAAACAAGTCAAGTTGGTGCCTGTGCTACCTGAATGCGGGCTCAGGTGTGGGGCGGTTGGCTGGGGCCCTCCTAGGAGCCTACACCCATGGAACAAATCAGGCTCTATCCCAGGGGCCCTCAAACTACGGCCCGTGGGCCACATGCAAATACAAATATTGTATTTGTTCCCGTTTTGTTTTTTTACTTCAAAATAAGATATGTGCAGTGTGCATAGGGATTTGTTCATAGTTTTTTTTAAACTACAGTCCGGCCCTCCAACGGTCTGAGGGACAGTGAACTGGCCCCCTGTTTAAAAAGTTTGAGGACCCCTGCTCTAGAGCCAAGGTTACAGTGAGCGGGTAGACATCGGTGAAGCCCTGGCTGTGGCCCCCATTGACGGGCTGCTGTGACCCTCAGAAGTCCTTTGATGCCCACCCGCGGCGGGAGAGCCAAGTGCGGCAACTGGCATGGATTGGCGACGGGGTATGGGTGTCCATCCGCTTGGACTCCACACTGCGGCTGTATCACGCCCACACCCACCAGCACCTGCAGGACGTGGACATCGAGCCCTACGTCAGCAAGATGCTGGGTAAGGCTGTTGGACTGGCCTAGCAGGGCAGAGAGGGCCTTGAGGTAGCGCTGACCCCGCCTACTCTTCCCCCTACCCCCCAGGCACCGGCAAGCTGGGCTTCTCTTTCGTGCGCATCACGGCCCTGCTTATTGCGGGCAACCGTCTCTGGGTGGGCACCGGCAATGGAGTCGTCATCTCCATCCCGCTGACCGAGAGTGAGTGACCCAGACACCTGCAGAGGTGGTGAAGGCAGCCGCTAAAGGGCATGTGGTAGGGTCCCGGGGCGGGTGTGCTCTGCCATGCCACTCAGGAGGACATGGCTGCGCTGGGCACAGCCGTCCTATCCTGCCCCTCCTGTGACTGCTTCTCTCCTCTCCCCTCCATGCTTTGCCCCTCGCCTCCCCCAGCTGTGGTTCTGCACCGAGGCCAGCTCCTGGGGCTCCGAGGTAAGTCCACAGGCCTGCCTCCCGCTCTCCAAAAGCCCCCGCCCAAGATGCCCTGTGGGCCCCACAGCGTGCTCCTGCCCTTTGCCCCCACCTGCTTGGAAATTTCCCAGTCGATGGGTTCAGCCCCTCCAGGCTCCTCTCTATCAACAGCCAACAAGACATCCCCCACCTCTGGGGAGGGGGCCCGCCCAGGAGGCGTCATCCACGTGTACGGCGACGACAGCACCGACAAGTCGGCTAGCAGCTTCATCCCCTACTGCTCCATGGCGCAGGCTCAGCTCTGCTTCCATGGGCACCGTGACGCTGTCAAATTCTTTGTCTCCGTGCCAGGTGAGTGGCGGGCCCCACTCCCTGCAGGTGGCACCCGTGGCCTCCCTTCAGGAGCCTGCATGTTGGCTCTGGCTGTCCTCCTAAGGCCCCTGTACCCCTTGACAGGGAACGTGTTGGCCACTCTCAATGGCAGCGTACTGGACAGCCCGTCCGAGGGCCCCGGGCCTGCCGCCCCTGCCTCAGAGGCCGAGGGCCAGAAGCTGAAGAATGTGCTGGTGCTGAGCGGTGGGGAGGGCTACATTGACTTCCGCATTGGTGAGTGAGAGCTGCCTTCAGGCCCCAGGGACTCCTGGGCAGGGGCTGCCCCTCACAGCCATCTGCTCTCTCCCCAGGCGATGGGGAGGACGATGAGACGGAGGAGAGTGCAGGGGACGTGAGCCAGGTGAAGCCCATGCTGTCCAAGGCCGAGCGCAGCCACATCATCGTGTGGCAGGTGTCCTACTCCCCCGAGTGAGGCATGGCCTCTGTTGCCCCCTACCTGGCACCATAATGTACATATGCCCACCCTGCCCCATGGGGCAGCCCACCAGCCCCTCTCTAACCTCTCAACCTGCAGCTTTCACCTTAGGTCCGGCCTGGGAGCTGACAGGGGCAGCAAGCAGCAAAGCGGATCTGGGTGGGAGGTGGGAGGGACAGAGCCTTTGGGGACACCCTTTTCCAAGCAGCTCCTGGCCAGCCCCTAGTCCAGAGGCCAGACCCAGGGCACTGGAGGGCCAGAACAAGGCAGAATTCCAGAGTGAACATTCCCCAGGGAGCTCCCAACTGCACCATGGGCTCCCCATCTCATCAGGGGAGGAAGCAGGGTCATCACAGCCAAGGCCCACTTGCCTTTGCCTGCTGTCCATGAGGGGGGTGGGGTCTGACCTTAAGGGAGCCAGCCCAGCCACTAGCCTTCCCTGGGTTCCCCCATGCCCTGCCCCTGCCACCCCAGGAAATGGCATGAAAGCATGTATCCAGGCTCCCGGGGCAGCTGTGTGAGAAGATAGATGCCCTCGTCGTGCTCATGTTCCCCAATTCCCTGTGTGGCAGACTCTCACCAGCCCTCATCAACCCATGTGTCCTCTCCTGGGCAGAAGACCCACCTTATAGAAGCAGGCCCTGCAGTCCTCCTCCTCCTGGAAGGCCCCAGGGTGGGGTTTCTCAGGCTGCCAGGGCAGACCCAAGCCTCAGGAAGGGGTGGGGGGGCACTAGGACACAGGCTCTGCCTCAGGGTGATGGAAGAAGGTGTGCTCCAGGGCCTGCCTCCCAAGCAGTCTCCAAGGAGCCCAGCTCCCAAGACACGTTACTAAGTGCCTCGGGCTGGTGGTGTGGCCTTCTCCCTTAAGGGCAACTGACAGGCTGACAGCGGAGACCCTAAGGGCTCAGGACGGGCCACCTCCCTGGCTCTAGGAGCATGCACCACCTGCTTGGAAGGGCACCGCCCTGGACTGCTGCCTCCCCACCTGCCCAGGCCTTACTCCTGCTCCGAGAAACACTGATCAGGGCAGCCCCGGCCCTGCTGCCCACGCACCTCCCACCAGAGAAGCACAGATCTTGGGCAGCCATGCCATAGCCCAGCCAGGACCACTGCAGTCACATGCAGCTAGGCTTCTCCCACCGCCTGCCCCTCTCCACTGTGATGTATGTCAAGTCCTTGTCCGTCCCCACAGGGCCAGGATGACCGGGGTTATCTGGGTGGATGCAGCTGGGGGAAGGGGCTGGGTGGCGATTCTCCTCAGGCTTTGGCCCTGCAAGCAAACCCGCGTATCTGCTCTGTGTAATAAATGTCTTATCATGGAACCTGTGTCCCTGAACCCAAACCAATGTGAGCACAAGCGTTTTCTTCAGTTTATTATAAAAAGAAACGCTGGACCAGCTGAGCGCCAGGCCTCCGCTCTGGTGCGTTTCCAGGCGCACTGCACAGTGCCGCCAACGTTTGGGGCAGACCCACCTGTCCTCTTGGAGGTCCGAAGGGGGCTGTCCACCCTGCCACAGGGTGTCCTGAGCCCCACCGCAGGGCCTGGAGGGTGCGAAGTCACCCACACCTATTGCGGCCCGGGGTGCTCAGCTCGGGTCCCGCCGTTACTCATACAGCCAGCGCTCGGCGCTGTCCTCCCAGCAGAGCAGCTCGTTGGGGCTGAACCAGAGCGCGATCTCTCGGCGGGCACTCTCCACGGAGTCGCTGCCGTGAATCACATTCCTGCGCGGGAAAGGCGCCCTGAGTGCGGGCAGGGGCCCACGAAGCCCTGCTGGGGGGGTCGGGAGGGGGTAGCAATGTCCCCGGGGCCAGGGCCGGCCTTACTTGCCAACCTCGATGCAGAAATCTCCGCGGATGGTGCCGGGCGGAGCATCCGCTGGGTCTGTGGCCCCGATTAGCGCCCGGGAGACGCGCACAACGTCCAGGCCCTGCCACACCTGGGGACCGGGACGGGGTCGGCACCGGTCAGGGCGCGGCTCGGCGCGGGGTCAGCCGCCGCCCGGCCCGGCCCGGCACTCACCATGGCCACCACGGGCCCCGAGCCCATGTACTTGACCAGGCGGCCGAAGAAGGGGCGCTCTCGGAGCTCCGCGTAGTGCTCGCGCAGCAGCTCCTCCGAGGCCTGCGGACGAGGGGGTCGGGCCGCGGCTCAGAGGCGCCGCCGGCTCCCGCGCCCTCCCTCGTCCCCCATCTCCCAGCCCCCATCCCCCGCCCCCGCCCCCCATTACCCAGCCCCCACCCTCATCCCCCATCCCCCGCCCCACCTGCACCAGCTTCAGAGCCACCAGCTTGAAGCCCTTCCTCTCGAAGCGCTGCACGATCTCGCCCACGAGCCGCCGCTGCACGCCGTCGGGCTTCACGGCCAGGAAGGTGCGCTCATGGACACCGGCGCGGGCTGCGGGACCGCGAGGCGGCGGCGCGCGTCAGCCCGGCCGAGCCCGTCCCCACCCGGCCTGGCCCCCTGCCCGGCCGCCGCTTACCCGCCGGGAATAAGTTGGCGAAGATGGTCAGCACCAAGCAGATCATGATGGCGGCGGCAGCGGGAGTGAAGCGCGGCCTCGGGGGTGGGGGCGGGGCCTGCGCTTAAAGGGGCCGCGGCCCCACCCGCCTCGTGCCGGCCTCCTGGAGCCGCGAAGAGTGAAGCTGGGCCTGGGGTCCACGCCCAGCCCGGGACCCGGGGACAACTAGGTCTGTACCGACCGCAGTCCGCTCCCGCCTTCCCATCCACCAGGCCAGGACACCAGGGTGGCAGGCAACCTTTCCCTCCCGCACTCCTGCACACAGCCCAACCCAAACGCGAAGAAGCCACAACCCGGCTGCTGCATTTGCCTTTATTCGCTCTCAAGCTTCGGTCCTGGCTGAAGCAACGCATATGGGAAAGGATGCCACCTGGAAGTGACAGGTGCCCGCGCCGGGGCTCCACGCCTGCAGCCCCGCTGCTGCCAGCTCTCCCCCAGCAGCGGCCTCCTGCGGGGGCCCCGTGCACACTCCAGACCGAAAGAAACCACCACCCACCACCGGACCACACGCCACGGTGTCGGTCTTCTCCCAACACTCCCTCGGCCAGATCTGGGTTTGGAGAACAGGGACAGAGACACCGGCGCGGGGTCTGGCGCCCCTCTGTTCAGTGCGGTCTCAGAAAAGCCACGGAGGTCCCCGGGGGCTGACTCAGGAGCAACACAGACATTCTGATTCACCAGGATGGTGCCCACTGCCTTGCACCCTAGACAAACTGCCGGTTCTGGCATTTCAGACAGGAGTGCCCTTGGCCCTTTTCTTTGCCTCTTGTTTCTCGGGGTAGTCCCAGGGCTCAATGGGGACCCTCTCCAGATTCAGCACGGGCTCCTCGGTGCTGGGGTCCCCATTCTTCCGTCGCTCAGCCAGAATCATGGCTCGGAGCAGCGGCGGGTAGGGCACGGAGCGCAGGGTGTCCTCCGGCGCCGGCGTGAAAGCGGTGAAGGCCGCCTCCTCGTGCTTGGGCACCAGCCGCCAGTCGTGGTACATGGTGTGTTCGATCTCCCGGGCCTCACTCTCCGTCTTTCCTGGGGAGAGAAGGGCGGGTGTATTGCACACACTTGCGGACCCGTCTGTTGCCAGCAGCCACCCTAGCCGGCCATGACGCCTTACCTTTGAAGGTCAGGATGCCCCAGGCCTTGCCATGGTCCAGGTTCTGCAAAGCAACAGGGAGAGGTCAGCTCACCAAGCTCTCTCGCCCCCAGATAGCAACACGCAACGCCGTGTGTGAGGGAAACGGTGCTGCCCCGCGACGCTCGGGAGCGGGAAGGTGAGGGCGGGCACACGCACCTGCGCCGTGTAGTCCGGCCGGACACGCGTGAGGCGCCAGTAGCACGGCTCGTCGTGCTGCCACAGCCAGGACTTGCGCGTGACCAGGCGGCCCAGGCCGAAGAACGGGAGGCGGCCGAGCAGCTGCAGGAGGCGGCTTTCGCGGCGCACGTCCGCCCAGGCCCGCACGGGCAGTCGGCGGCCCGAGTACGGCCGCGTCAGCGTCTCGTAGTCCAGGGCGTAGAGCTGTGAGTCGCGTGGCCGCTCCCGTCGCTCGCGGAGGGCCCGCACACGGCGGGCCAGCTCGGCGATCAGCCGCGGCCGCACCTTCTTGCGCCCCATGGCCTGCCCGCGCCTCCCCGCCGCGCTTCGCGAAGCCGGCCCGCCGCCGGAAGCGGCTGGTGTTCTCTACAAAAGCCTCCGGGCACGACCGGAAGCGGAGGAGGCCGGGCAGGCTATGGCGAAGGTTGGGTCCCGCAGGGTCGGGCGCTCGTGTCGGGGCCGGGGACAGCGGCGGCCCACGACCTGGGAGATCTCGGACTCGGACACTGAGGGGCCCGTCGGCGCGGGAGCCGACTCAGAGGCCGCCGTGAGGGCCCGGGACCCGGCGGAGCAGCGCAGAGCGGAGGCCGAGGCGCTGCGGCTGCTGCGGCCCAAGCAGGCACTGCGGCGCCTGGCGGTGCGCGTGGACCCAGGTGCGCCCGAGGGCGGGGGCAGGTGTCCCGGGAGAAGCCGCACTTCGGCCCGAGCTTGGGTTTTGGAAGCTCCTCATAATCGCTGGGAGGTTGTCCCCCGCCCACTGCGGGGCGAGAGGGGCCTCTGTCAAGGCCGCCTCTTGGCCAAGAATTGGCGCCGGCTTTCCCGTTGGGGAGCTTGATGAAAAGATTCCGGGAGCTGGACCCATCGCGCTCTTGGAGTCGGCAGCGTCGGTGTGTTTGTCATTCGCCACCCAGGCTGGGGGTCTGCTGTGAGCAGCATCCTCACGTGGAGGGAGAGGAATGACAGCTTCTCTTCCGCTCACCCTAGCCATCCTGGAAGATGCTGGTGCTGACATCCTGATGGAGGCCTTGGGCTCCCTGGGCTGTGAGTACCACATCGAGCCCCAGCGCCCCGCCCGGAGCCTCAGGTGGAGCAGAGTGAAGCCAGAACCTTGCCCCTGCAGTGTGAGTGCCCCAGCAGCCTCATTTCCAGGGTTTACCTAGTGCGGCCCTGGGTTGGGTGTTTTGCCGCTGTGATTTCATGAGGGGTTGGTGTAATCATGCACATAAGCTCAGAATGGGGAATGCGGAGTGGGTGATGCCCAAGCCACTACAATGGTCAATTGCAGACCCGGGTCCAGGGCCTGAACTCATCTGGTGCTGAGGAATGTTCCATCCCCACTGATGCTGTGGTCAGTGCTCCTGTGGGCTCTATGGACCAGGGCTAGTCTTGGCCGTGGTAGGAGATCACCTTGGCTTCTGTAGATCTTTGTGGGCATGGGCGCTTGCCTGTGGCCATGAACCTCAAGGTACTGTGCTGCCCGTGCCAAGGCCCTGGGACACTTGAGGCTGAGGATGAGCAGCACCCCTGGGTATCCCTGCAGGTGCCTCCTGAAGTGTGGGCTGCGGGTGAGCAGGAACTGCTGCGGCTGCTGGAGCCTGAGGAGTTTCTGCAGGGTGTCTTCCAGCTGACCCAGGTGCTTGGAGGGGGGCTGGGTTCCCAGCCTGCATGTGCTGTTCTGCCAGGCCTGATTAAGGACAGGGGCTGAGAGGGCATGCAGTGGGCTGGGGCTCCTCTCTGTTCAGCAGCCAAGATGTGAATGAGATGAGGGAAGACAGCTGGGCTCTTGGCCTGGGAGCAGACGGGAGCCACAGCTGCTTCTAGAGGGCAGCAGCAAGGATAACAAGGGCCCTCTGAAGAGTCAGAAGCCAGAAGTGGGGAACTGGTAAGAGGGGGTCTGGGGACTTGGGCTGCGAGTCGGCTTGCAGTCCAGCTATGAGAGCCACCAGCCCAGACCCCACCTGGCTGAAGGAGCAATAGGGACTGCTTAGCTGATGCTTGTGCCAGAGGGTCATTAGGTTAGTAGACCCTCTGTCTGAGGTTCAGCATTTATCAAGTACCTGCTGCCAGGCTGGGATGCAGAGTGGACCAAGAATGGGGGCTTTTGTAGATCCCCTTGACCTCCTGAGAGGCACACAGCTAGTTTTCTAAAGAACGCTGACTGGGCAGAGGAAGTCTGCTCCAGTCTCCTCCCAGCACCACTGGGTTGTTCTTGCTCTCCTTTCTGCAAACTGGCAGTAGTCTGGTGAGCCCTGCCTACCGCAGCCCCAAGGAACAGGGGTGGTAAACCTTCTTGGCTTGCAGATCTGTGGCCCAGCCTGTTCAGTGCCCTGGATCTCTCCTGAGAGCCCCACCTGCCTTCACCTGGCTGTCATCGGGCTGGATGCCTACCTGTGGTACCAGTCACCCTCACACCCTGAGCAGGCCCGGCTGGGGTGGGGGAGTTCAGGGAAAAGATCGTGGTAGCTCTGGGGCTGCTAAACCCCTCCCTTGGGTGGGCTATGAAGGAAGCAGAACTCAAGGAGGGTGGGACCAATGGGATATGGGGAGCTGGAGGGACAGTCACCTCTGTTCAGGTCTCACCAGCCCAATGCCCAGGAGATGCAGCAGCCAGAGAGTCCAGGGGTAGCCCGTGCAGAGGTGGCGGTCGGCTGGCCTGAAGTGGAGGAGGTGAGGACAGGGCAGGTTGGATGAGGTGGGTGGCCTTGGCCCTGACAGGCTGGTCTCTGAGGTGTGATCTCAGGGTGGCATGTGAGGCTGGTCTCAGCTAGGTTGTCCCCCAGGGGAGCCCTCCTCTGAGCCCTCCTCATGGGTTTGTGTCCCCCTCAGGCCCTGGTGCTCCTGCAGCTCTGGGCAAACCTGGATGTGTTACTGGTGGCCTCCTGGCAGGAGCTGAGTCAGCACGTGTGCGCCTTCACTAAGGCCCTTGCCCAGCGCCCCTTCAAGTGCGTGACCCCCACTTCAGCTGGTGGCTGCTCTTGGGAGTGTTAACAGGAACACCTGGAGGGGTGGTACTTCCCGGGCCTCTTAAGGCCAGAGGGCTGAGCTGGGGGACTGGGTGGTCAGGAGAGATGAAGCCTCTAGAAACCCCCCTTTTCTCTCCCCATCAGGCAGTTCCAAGAGTCCGGGACCTTTTCCTTCTGCACAGCTGGGCGCTGGACGGCAGGCGAGCGTGTGACAAAAGATGGCACAGGGCTTCGGGGGGCCTGGTGGCGACAGATTAGGCAGTTCAACCGAGTCAGCCCGGCTGTGGCTGATGCTGTTGTCACTGCCTTCCCTTCTCCCCGCCTTCTGCAGCAGGTGAGCCCCCTCCTAGACTCTCAGACAAGGAGGCCAGGTCCCTGAGGCCTGCCCTGCTCATCCCTGTGCCTGCCCTAGGCGTACTTGGCCTGCAGCACTGATCAAGAGCGCCTGGCCCTCCTGGCTGATCTCCCCGTGAAGGTGGATGAAGGCGCTCGGCCCCGAAGGGTGGGGCCTGACCTTTCCCGTCGCATCTGCCTCTTCCTGACCTCCACCAACCCTGACCTCCTGCTGGATCTGAGCTCCTGACCTGCAGGGCCTTCTCCCACCAACAAACTGAACAGAAACAGAAGGCACCCCAACAAGGAAGAGACCAGAAACCAAAGGGGTGGGGGGAGGAGAGCTCACCCAGCACAGCTGTCCCTCAGCCTGGGGAGAGGCTCAGCCAGGTCTGAACCCAGGGGAGGCGCAGGTAGAGTAAAGGCTCTGGGTAATGATGAGCAGAAGAGGAAACTCCACGTGGGGCTGGAGGCTGGGGCAAGGCCTTGCACACACTGGCTGCAGGCCTGGGGCCAACTGGGACAGTGGGGAGAGTTGGGTAGCACCTAAGTCCCTCCTGGGGGCCATGCACCAGTCACCTGGAGGCGTGGGGGTGACACCTTCAGAGAGAAGTGAGACAGAGTCTCAAGGGAGAAAAGAGAGCCAGGCTGCCTCTTCCCCAAGGGTATTGCAACACAACCAGGACCACGGGAGAAAAGGTCTTGATGTGGACTCCTTTTAATGCTACCACTATGGAGGTGTTAGGTATAAACTCAGAGTTTATTACGATCGTTTCAGTCTCAGACGGGAGGAACAACTGACAACATGCAAAGCAAGTGAGGACAAACCCAAGGTCCCCAGAGGCTGGCAGCTACAGAAAAGGTGACATCTGATGAGGCCGCAGACTCGGTCCAGAAGAGCTGGTGTGGCCACTCACAAGAGACTCCAAGGAGAGAAGCAGCCACTGCCATACCCCACACAGGAAACAGATGGATTCAGTTCTGGTCTCAGGATCCCAGGGCCTGCGGCTTCTGAACTTATGGCAAGGCCTGACCTAGCCTCTGAGGGCAGGGGGACAGCCCAGACAGACCTTGGCCCAACTCCTCCCTCTCCTGTTACCCTGGAGCATGGCCTGAGGGAAAGGATGGAGAAAACGCTGTCCTCGCCTCAGGAGGCAGTTTTCATTGGAAAATAAGTTAGGTCCTTCGGCAGCGTTTCCTCTGGCAGCGCCGGGTCTCTGGGCTGCTGGGACTGACCGTGGCTTTGGGTGAGGGCGTGGGGGACTTGTGGTGGCCACAGCTCATGCTCAGGACCCAGCCCAGCTTGTTTTGTAGCACCTGCTTGAGGCCAGGTGGCAAGGGCAGGCCCTCAAGCGTGTCCCCAGAGTTGGGTCGTAGCTGGCGCAGGCGGTGGCAACACAGGTACTGTAGGGAGGTGGCGCTGGCACAGGAGCGGATGACCTTCATGCTGCTCTTGGCCGCGGTGGAGCACACCATTGGATAGAACTTCCTGTTCTGCAGCTTTGTGGCTGCCACACCTAGAGGGGGCACAGCCTGAATCCTGGGCCAGGAGGGGGCTTAGCCATTCTTTGGACATCCTCCTAAGATAACTAGGGTGGCCCTCGTGCTGTCCCACCCTCTGGAGACCCTGGGACCTCAGGCTTCTTTCTTCAAAGATATCTTTTTGGAAGCCTTAGGGCCACTCAGCCTGGGCCCGTCTCTGCTTCCTACAGGACCTCAGTAGCAGCCACACCCCACAGGTCTTTGTCTCCCCTGGGATCCTGGACACCCTCACCTATGCACTTCCTGTTCTTAAAGAAGGTCAGTGTCCCGTGCCAGGTATCCAGGTGCACGCCAATAATGGAGCCCTGGCCAAACCGCGAGGAGAAGGTCGTCTTGTCACCCTTGTGGTGGAGGAGCCCTAGGGGGCAGCAGGAGGCAAGGGGTTAGCCTATGTCTGGGGGCCCCTCCCAGCATGCCTGCCCTTCGGGGCCCCACATACCTGTGTAGGAGAGGCCCCAGCTGTCCTCATCCCTGCCAAGCAGGCTGCAGAACGTGTGGTGGTACTTGTCCAGGTCCACATCTGACGTCCCAATGCCCACCATCTGGAGACAACAGGCCAGGCAGAGGGGGGCCGGGGCCAGGGCACCAGCAGAGCTCCTCCCCCCACAGCCCTGCCTGTCACTTACCATATCAGTGCCGTACACAGGTGAGGTCATCTTGATCTCCCAGAAGTGCTGCCCCTCCCCTAGTTCCTTGGTGCCTCGGATGGCAGCTGTGCCGCAGCTGTACTCCACATGGAAGTTGACCTTCCGGTTGTCACAGCTCAGCAGGGTGGCTGAGGACTTATTCAAGTCATCCCAGACCCATTCAAAATCTAGGAGGAGTGGGGATAAGGACACATATGTAATAACTTAATAAAAAAATTTAAAAAAAAATGTAGGCGAGGAAAGGCCAGATTGGGGTAGTCTCTTGAACCCCTGCTGCGTCCTCATCTGGCCTAGCGACCTGCCCCTCAAGCCCAGTGACCCGCGCCAGGCACTTACACTCATCTTCCTCCCCACAGCGGCAGTCCTTGCCCCGGTGCGCCGCTGTGTGCAGGCTGCTGCAGAAGGCGGCCTCGCTCTGATTGTCACAGTTGCAGAAGGACTCACCCGTCACAGGCACAGCACTGGGGATGGATGCTGGCAGGGACGAGTACTCAGGGTCAGAGTCAGAGTCACTGTGCTGAGAAAAAAGGGCAGGCTGTTCCCCCTACTGTGCTTCTGCCCTCCACCTGCCACAGCACCCATCTTAGGCCAATGGGGGAACTGCTGACGCCCCAAGTTTAGCCTCAAAGGGATTCCCAAGGGCACAGCCGGACCACACTTCTGCAGTGCTCCCAGAGTGACCCTGCACACCTCCAGGCTCAGGTATGGGGAGGGCCCACCATGCCCCTGGGTTCCCGAGAGTGGGCTTAAAGGCCAACCCATTTCTGCACAGCCAAGGGGGCCCGGGAGCCCAGGCACTGATGAGCCCACAGCAGTGCTATATGCTTGGCTATCATTCTGCAGCCAGTTTCTAGATCATGGGTAGGCTGGCCCCATCAAGGATGGACTAAAGAAGGGGAGCCCTGGCAAAGTCCACTGGTGCCCTACTGAAGCCCGGGTCTCCCCACAGGCAGCAGCTGGGCTGTGGTAGTGCTGGCACACATTCCTGACTGCAGTGGCTTTATCATCCTTGCAACAGGTGGTTCTTAACCCCCAACCCAGAGCCCTAAGGAGCCCAGGGGTTTCATGCTGCTTCCAACTTCTGTAGTAGGAAAACATTCAGGGGGCAGGGACGGGGCTGTCCCTCTACCTGAGGGGCTCGGTCCTGGGCTTGATCCCAGGCTGAGCTGGTCAGGTTCTAGCAACTGCTGACCCACCCTCTCCTGGAAGCCATTAAGAGATGCTCTGTGCACCTAGTCATTCCTGCTCTGAAGCCACACAGGCCCCTCTGGATATCTGCCTTGACTCTGGACCCCAGGCCTCTGCCTGCCTGCTCTGTCAGCCCTCTTGGGTTGGCTCAGGGTCCTGGTTAGGCTCCAGCCTCCACCCCGGGTATTCCTCTTGCCTCCTTGAAACCCTTTGCAAAGCAGCCCACATACCGCCATCAGAGCTTACCTGCTCTGGTCCCTCCCCTCTTCCCCCACCTGTCATGGGGGAGAGCTCTTTGCCCGTGGAGGGCAGCTTTCAGATATCACTCCAAGAGGCTTTTCTGGCCCTCCCTCCTGAGTCCTCTTCCTCCTCACCTGCTCCTGACAGTCTCCTCTGTCCTGCTGCTCTGACTCCTCCAACCAAAACAGGAGCTCTGCAGGGGAAGAGCCTCGTCCTTGTTTCTTCCTATTCTACCCGAGGCCCATGCAGAAGCTCATAACCCAACTGGAGAGACTAAGAGGGTTGAACCCCAATCAGAGACAGCCCCAGAAAGGACTGGAGGCAGGCCCAAATCACCCCATTATCAAGGAACGGTGATCTCCCAAAAGCCAAGGCAGGCACACTGCCAGCCATAGGCAGCCCCTTCCCAGAGTCAGCAGCCAGGAGCGCAGGCCTCAGTACGGAAGGCCTGTAGGTCAACCTGGGCAGGGGGCAGGCCCAGCCCCTCGGCAAGCCAGAGGGAAGGGTGGTGTGTTTAGCCTTCAAGGATGTCAAGGTGACGCGCCCACCTGCTCGCCCACACAAATACTCCAGGCCAATCAGGTGATGGGGCAGGCTGCACGCAAGCACGTGCCAAACACTTGTACCCCAGCCGCCCAACACGGCCTGCATCCCAGAGTGATGAGCCAGTGAGGGAGGGACAGACACAGGAAAACAGACTGCTCCAGCCACATGGCCAGGACAGGAGCTGGCAGAGGCAGGAATGCAGGCCAGGACGCTGCTGGCCTGGGCAGCGATTTTGGGGAGACTCCCAGGATTCTGTCCATTCAGAACAGTCACTTTTATTCTCCATCAGGGCCTGGCAGTTCCACAAGGCTTAGCTGCCCTCACTCAAGGGACGAGAGGTGCCCACCCACTATCCCCAGGATGCCTGGCTGAGCCATGGAAACATGCAAAGTGCCTGTGACGGCACAGACAAGTCACCTAAAGATCACCCCAGCAGGAAGCAGGGGAGGTGACTCAGGGCAGGGCCAACCCCTTGCTCTCATCTAAGAGATTTTGGAAGATGACTGGAAATCTATTTCCCACCACTCCCTGAAGTGGGCACAAAAGCCACACCGCTCCGCTGTTCCCGGGGTCCGTACAGCCAGCCTCTGGCTGCAGAGCCCTCAGGTACACCAGGCAGCCTGCACTGAGACCAACAGCTGAGCTGCTGTTGCAACCAGAACTTGGGAACAACGGAGAGGGAGAAGGCACAAGAACTGTGGTTTCCAAAACTAAAGATCGTTTCACATGCACATACACACATACAGAGCACGTAGCTGTACAGGCAGGGGAACCGCCCAGGAGGGTGCAATGGAGTTAACGACAGCTACCTTCAGAAACTGGTTATAAGAAATGGAATGGAGATATTCTGTTGAATGAACTGACCAAAGAACCAACTGCCACCCTCTTCAGCAGAAAGTGTAGAGAGAGGAATGGGGTATCTACCCCGAGGTCCTGTCACCCCAGGGCCATGTGGATCCTTAACCAGGGTGAACCCAGGGTGAGCAGTAGGGTCCTACTGTCCTCTGTCCTCGGGGGCTTCTTGCAGAGGGGTCTCCACACCTTAGTCCAGCAGCACCCACCTACCTGCCCATCAGAGTCATAGCCCCAGGCAGTGGTCCCTGCCAGAGCCATGGCCCGGGCGTCTGCGTCGCGGTGGGCTGCACTCAGGACAAAATGCCATGCCCTGCTGCTCCGCGGGCGCCTGGCCATGGTGGACAGGATCTGAAAGAAAACAGGTTCTGAGCAAAGGAAACACCTGGCATAGGAAGGTCTCCCAACAATCCCTGCCTCTGGATGTGGCTGGCTGGGCCACATCCCCCTCAAGGGGGAGCATTTTGTGAGCCACATGGTGCTAAACTGAGGCTCCAGACCTCGCCTCACAAGCACCTACCTCACTCCAGTGTCCAAGCACCTTGATAAACCCTACGTAGAGTGTGTGCAAGGCCGTCCAGACACACATGGCTCTCCAGTGCCTCGTTCAGTCCCGCCTTCAGCTCAGCCTAGGCACCCAGCTGGGCCGCCTGGATGTCCCGCAGGCACCTCAGCCCTCACCTGGCTCCTCCTCCACTGCTGTTTGACAAATGGCATCTCCAACCTCCGGGTTCCTCATGCCAGACCATAGCATTCACCCCCTCCGGACTTCCTCCTTCCCCGCACCAGCTCCGCAGGGCCAGTCCCACCCCACACACTCCGCTCCCTACATAGCCAAGCTGTTTTTGAGACAAATCTTGAAACTTCAAGCAAACCTTAAATCTGATCACTCCTCAGGGATTACCATTCTTAGGATAAAAGGCAACATCCCCCAAAGCCTATCAGGTTCCCCTGTGCCTCTCCAATCCAGTGGCCGTGTCCGAGTTGCTAGCTCTTCCCTGCCCTTTGCCCGGAATGCCTTCCCCTCCCCTCCTTGGCTGTTTCCGTAGCCGACTTACAGTCAGTCTCGATTTCTATGAGTATCTACTGCCTAGTTCTCCCCCGGAACGAAGTCTCCAGGGCAGGACCTGTCCCCCACGGGGACCCCGGGAGGCACAGGCCAGCCTGTCGGCGGATGAACGCAGGCACCGCTTTCTAGGCTGGGAGCGCCGTCGGCAGAACCAGACCCCCTCCCTCCAGCAGGGCCCCCGCACGGCTGCTTCACCTGCCGGTCCGAGCCAGCGCTGCCGCCGCTCCGGTCGGCCGGCCCAGCCACCATCCGCTGCGTCTGCAGCGCTCAGTGGGCGACCCGCGATGCACGCGAAGTGACCGGCCCACGAGACCGTCCCCGGCCTCGAAGCGGGGAGCCTCTGACTAATTCCAGTTTCGGGCGGTGCCGCGGATCCTCCCCGCGCCGCGCGGCGGGCCTACTGTGCGGGGCAGCCCGCCCGGGCCCCGGCGCCGCCCGCGGGAACAAACGCGCGGCCGGGCCTCGCCGCCGGCGGTCCCGCAGGGGCCCGAACCGGGCGGGTCGGGAGGCGCGGACGCACCCGCCCTCACCTGAGCCGCTCCGCCGCCACGCGCCGCCGGCGGCCGTGACCCACTTTCCGCTCCAGAGCGAGACGTAAACAATCCCCGCCCCCCGCAACGCATCGGCCGTGCAGCCCGAGGCTGGCGCTCCAGGTCGGGCGCTCGGCACTCGCCGCTGGCCGAGGGGCTGCGGAACCTGTCAGGCCTGACTCGGCGTCCGCACTGGCCGCATCCTAAGCGGTCGGGGACGAGGCCGCGCGCCCCTGGGACAAGGGGCGAGTTAGGGGGGCGGCCCTACACTCCACCATTGACACGGAAGTGGGTTCCTCTCCGGTACGTCGTCCGCGCCGGAACTTGCGTAACCTTTTCTGCAACCTAATTGGCTAAGAGGAGCGTGAGTGAGCCTATCAAGAAGAGCCAGGGGGCGGGCTCGAGCTGCCCATTGGCCGAAGGCTCTTCACTCGGGCTGCAGGCGGACGGAGCGGAGGAAGCGGCCGCGAGGCGTGCAACCTGCGCGAGGGATGGAGGCGGTGGCCGGTGAGTCTGCGGGCGCCGAGGGGAGCGGGAAGAGACCGGCCCGCAGCTGTTGGTCGCGACCCTGGGTGTTTAGCGAACCGTCTTATTTGCAATGTAAGGGCCACGGAGACGCACGTGTACTTATGAGTGTAACGTCCTCAAGTTGCAAGTGTTCATGTAAGTGCCGCGCTGCTCGGGAGCGTGAAGTCAGGGGAACTCGAGCACGTGCGCTGTCTGCCGTTAAAAATACAATACTGCCGGTTATGCCATCGTTTTTTGACTTGGTGATACCCCAAGAAAACAGGAAGAAGTCGTTTGAATGTGGGGTTCTAAAAAGACACCAGAACATCACATACTTTTAGTTATTTGTGGAAGTTTTATTTGAGCTTTCCACACCTTAATATTTGAAAAAATGAAAGTTCTGTTGGACGGATACAAGCCCGTATCATAGATTTGCACAGATTAACCAACGTCGGTTTTCATAACTAGGGGGTTGCCACATTATCTTTTAAAAGACTTCCGGTCTGGTACCTTGGACACCAAGCTCTTAAAGCTCAATTCATCCACCGGATTGTAAACAACACTAGAGGGAAAAATCTGCAGCGACTTTTTAGAATAAGGGCAGCTTTGCTACAAGGTAAGATCTAGATTGATCAATTTTTAAAAGGGTTAGCTGCTTTTATAGCCAGGGGGAAATGCAGGTAAAAATCCAAAAGGTTGAACCTGGGTATGCCCGGAGGCCTGGCCTGTAATTTGTATCTTTCTAGAAAGATGCCTTATGTAGGAAGAGTGACAAGCTTGTCCAGTCTATCGCATAATCGTCGTCATTGGTTGGGCTTAAGAATGAAGCTGACCCTGACTTACCGGTAAAGGTGCTCCTCACGTTCTTCTGAGGGGAGATACAGCTTTTCTTGCCTCTTCCAGCACAGCCTCTCACACCTAGTCGGCACGCACATCCAGGTGAATGCACTGGGTTGATGGTCTGTTTATAAACTCTTCAGCTTGCTTAGGGGTGAAGGTTCTGTGGTTAACCGCTAAGGATCGCTGTCTGAGAAGTTCAGCTCCATCCAGTTATCTGATGAGTGCCCTGACTGGTCTCAGATAAAATTCCCCACTCCCCCCAGTGAGGAAAGTAGTCTAGTGATTAGGAGCTTGGCTAAACCAGGATCCAGACCTGAGCCTTTCCCTCCACCCCAGCAACAGTGAAGTTGACTCCCAAATACCTTTTGATGTTAAAACAATTTCATTAATTAACCTTTTAAAAAATTCCTCATCCAAGGATATTTTTCCTTTCATTTTTTAGAGAATGGTAGGGAGGTGTGTGGGGGGAGGGGGGAGGGGGTGCGGGGGAGAGAAACATCAATGTGAGAGACACATTGATTGGCTGCCTCCCGCCCGTGCCCTGACCCCTGGCTGGGGATTGAGCCAGCAACCGAGGTACAAGCCCTTGACCCTTAGGTCCGAGGACCAACATTCTAACTACTGTTCTAACTACTGAACCAAACCGGCCGGGGCTAAGTAATTAACCTTTTAAATTGCTGCAGGGGTGACCTGAAGCCAGGGGCTGGGGCTTCGTGTTTGCAGGCAGTGATCCACGTCCGGGATGTCCCAGCCCTAGGTGCTGGGAGCGGATCTGGGAAAGGCACTTGAATGCATTGGCGACAAGGACCTGCCCGACAGCCAGGGTAGGCTCCCTCTGAGTGCCTGCTAGGGAGGCTTTGGAAGTGCAGGCTTTTGAGCATGCCCTTGAGAGGTGGGTCAGGAGGAAGGATCGTACGCACTTCTGTGTTGATTGTTGAGCCCCGTCTGCATGTGGGGCGGGTGGAGAGAGCCGCTGCGGGAAGCAGGGCGAGGTCCTGAGGGTCCTGTAGCGAGAACAGGGGGTCACTGCTGGGGGGCTGAGGGCTGTGTGTGCAGGGCACAGGGGTTAGTTGGTGAATATTTATTTGGTGACATTTGGGGCTCATTTTAGGAAGAGGAGCTGGGTCAGAGTGGCGGCCCACAGGGGTCCACAGAAACAACTCTGGTCTCAGGACCTGTGTGGGAGTCACAGGATGCCCCTGCCCTTGTGTACTAGGGTTTCTTGAGGCTGGGCTGGCAGCCAGGGGACATTGACATTCACACACACACACACACACACACACACCCATGATTGCCGCTGCCCTGGGTCCCCAGAGCTATAAGGGGCCCTCCTGAGAACTGGAGGCCAAGGCTGCCTTGAGTGCTTCTCTGACTCCAGAGGAGCGGGCTGGGTGCCTGAAGATCAGACCTGGGCCCTAGGAGCGGGTGGGAGCTGCCCAAGCACAGAGGTGTCATGGCTGTAACAACCCAGTTTGCATTGGTCTCCATTGGAATCAGCCGGGAGCCAGCATGCTTTGGTTTATTGCCTGTGTGTGTGCACTTACACGTGTGCACACTAGAAAGAGGAGCAGTGTGGGTCATTTTAGGCAAGAGTGGGAGCAGCAGCATTGGAGGAACCAAGGGGTCGGGTCTCAGGACACAGGAGGAGCCTGGTGACCCGTGAGTGACAGTGAAGAGCATCTGCGTGAAGGGCCTCCTCACTAACTGGCATCCTTCTGAGCAGAGCCTGGAAACCTGTCTGGCGTCCGGCACATCGTCCTCATCCTCTCGGGAAAGGGGGGAGTCGGGAAAAGCACCATCTCCACCGAGCTGGCCCTGGCCCTGCGTCACGCAGGCAAGAAGGTGAGCGCCTGCTGCCCGCAGCCACAGCCTCTGTCCCCTCCTGAGCCGCCCCTGCCCTTTCCCTTCTGGGTAGACACACAGGGAAGCCATGCTTTCTTCCTGCCTTGGGAGACCCCTACATGCTATGCAGACATCCTGGCTCCTTGCAGGTGGGGATCCTCGATGTGGACCTGTGTGGCCCCAGCATCCCCTGCATGCTCCGGGCACAGGGCAGGGCCGTGCACCAGTGTGACAGTGGCTGGGTGCCCGTCTTCGTGGACCAAGAGCAGAAGGTCTCCCTCATGTCTGTGGGTTTCCTGCTGGAGAAGCCGGATGAAGCTGTGGTGTGGAGAGGCCCCAAGAAGAACGGTAATGACCAGGCAGGGGACTGCACTGTCAGCCTTCCAGCCTCCCTTGGCGCTCAGTTAAAAAGCCGAACAAGAGCCCTAGCTGGTTTTGCTCAGTGGATAGAGCATCAGTCTACGGACTGAAGGGTCCCAGGTTCGATTCCCATCCAGCGCACATGCCTAGGTTGTGGGCTCGATCCCCAGCAGGGGGCGTGCAGGAGGCAGCTGATTGATGATTCTCATCATTGACATTTCTGTCTCTCTCTCTCTCCCTTCCTCTCTGAAATCAATAAAAATATATATTTTTAAATCTGCTTAAAAAAAAAAAAAGGCGGAACAAGAGCCTGGAGCTGCTGGCCTTCCCCACCCCACGGGCCTCCTGCTGCTCACATGACCAGTCATGCCTGGACGTGGTGGTGGTGTCCAGATGGCAGGTGTGGGCCATGAGAGCGAGACAGCTATGTGGCTGTCGGCTGTGAAGTCCCCTTTCCCTTGGCAGGAAGGGCGGGTATGCTCAGACCTGAGCCCACCCTGTGTGTGTTGGGTGTGGGAGAAGGGGCACCAAGATGGGGCTCCGGTGCCTCAGCACCAGCAGGTGGCAAAGCCCCCTAGTGAGGCTGCAGGTATATTGGGGGGAGGGTGGGGGCTGCTCCACTCAGGTCATCTCTCGGGCTGTGAAAGCTGAGGTGTCCCCAAGGCTGGGCACAGGTGCCCCAGGAGGGTCTACCGAGGCCTCAGCAGAAGTCTAGCAGAGTAGGGTGGCCCAGCAGCTGGGAAGAAGGCGGTGCTGGTGGGGGACAGGGACAGAGGTGCCTCCCCGCTGCACTGTGCATCCCCCCACGTTCTGAGGAGCAGCGTGGAGGCCGGGTGGAGGCAGTGGGTGTGGGAGACCCCTTTTGAGATCCCAGCCACCTGACTTCCCTGGGCCTTCGCAGCTCTCATAAAGCAGTTTGTGTCTGACGTGGCCTGGGGACAGCTGGACTACCTGGTTGTGGACACGCCCCCAGGAACCTCTGATGAGCACATGGCTGCCGTGGAAGCCCTCCGACCCTACAGCCCCCTGGGGGCCATCGTGGTCACTACGCCCCAGGTACTGCAGAGCACGGTCCCCTTTCCCAGTGTGCCCCCTCCTCCCTGCTCTGTATGCTCTTCCTGGTCGAGTGTTCAGGATTCCCATGGGCCTGTTCTGGCTCGTCCCTGGTCCCTAGGCGGTGTCTGTGGGGGATGTGAGGCGGGAGCTGACCTTCTGTAGGAAGACAGGGCTGCGAGTGATCGGCATCGTGGAGAACATGAGCGGCTTTGTCTGCCCACACTGCACCGTAAGTCGTGGGGAGTTGTGGGCCGATTGCCCACGTGGGTTGTGGGGTTTGGGGGGTGGCGGGGGGAGAAGATGCTGTGCCCCCATCCTGCTCCCTGGCCTGGACCCCACTCCCTGAGTGCAGAGAGTCCTCAGGTGGACCCTGCGCCTCTGTCCTAGGAGTGCACCAACGTCTTCTCCAGGGGAGGCGGTGAGGAGCTGGCCAGACACGCCGGAGTCCCCTTCCTAGGTGAGCGGGTCAGGGCTCCCCTTGGCCTCTGCTCCGGGTGGTCCCACCTGCCTGTGCCCACTGCCCGTGGTGGGGGAGGAGGACAGTAGCCGTGTCCCCCTGTCCTTCTTGAGTTGCAGGTACCAGTTCATGTCTAATGCTGATCACTGCTGACCAGCTGGAAAGAAACGGCCTGAGGGAAAGGCGTGCCCCCCCCCCCCCCCCCCGCCAGGCCTTGAGTGGCAGCCCAGGCTGGTACCTGCTGAAACCCCCTGGAGAGCAGAAGGTGGCTTCTGCTCCGGGAGCGCCTTTATGGGCGGGGGGTGGGGGACACACGTGTGCGTGGCCACGTGTCCCCAGTGCTTGCCTTGCACTTTCTGCAAGTGGGCAATGTCCAAGGCAGCAGAGCTGGACCTGCTGGGTTGGCTGGTGGCTGTCAAGGTAGAAATTGAGCTCAAGCCCTTCTAGGCACCTCAGCCAGAGTGAGGCTGATGGGTGTCCGCTCTGGGCTAACGCAGCCTGACAGCAGCGCCTGTGCGAGGGAGGTGTGTGGACAGGGCCTCCCAGCCTCATGCTCAACACCTTTCCCCTTCCTTCTGTCTTCGCAGGCTCTGTGCCCCTGGACCCCAAGCTCACGAGGAGCCTGGAGGAGGGCCGAGACTTTATCCAAGAGTTCCCCCACAGCCCCGCCTTTCAAGCACTCTCCGCCATAGCCCAGAAGGTTTTGGAGGCACCTGCCCAGCTCTCCTGACCAAGGCCTCTCCTGGCGCCACTGTGGGGCTGCGGCTCACACTCAGCAGAGGTCCTGGTGCGGTTCCTGGAACCTGCAGGGCTGGCCTGTAGGGCTGTCACGGTGTGGACCTCCCCCTGCCCGGGCCCTTGTGAGGCGTTTGGTGCTTCAGCAGCAGCTGGGCACCAGAGCCACTGCCAGCGAGTGGTCTGCTGGCTTGGCCTGTTGCAGGCCCTGGGGAGAGCGAGGGGTTTAGTGCCATGGCCTGAGCTCGGTGCCTGCGCGTTCGCTCTTCATGCCGTGGCGCTCACATGCCCCAGACGGGCAGGCCACTCCTGATACCTCCACATTGTCCACAAAGCTTGTGGGTCTGTAGGTTGGCTGGGGACTTTGTCGTCCTCAAGTGCCTGGCTGCTGGTGGGGCTGTGAGTGATTGTGATTGAGGACGGGAGCACCCTGTAAGGTAGTAACTTCAGAGCCCACAATTAAATGTGTCCTGCCACCATGGTTATAAGTCTGATATTCTAGGTCATTCCGCCTTTGTCCAACCTCGGTGTATGACTGGTTGTGTGCCATAGCAGGCAGCGTTCACCCTAAGACCCGGGCTGGACCAGCAGGCTGGTTATCAACAGGCCCCTGAGGATTAGGGTGAGGGTGTGTTTGCAGGGGAATTTGATATGTCAGAGAAACGTGTGCATGGGGGCCCGCAGCCGGCCTCCACACTGCAGGGACCTAGGGCAGAGCTAAGGGCAGAGGAGTGTGAAATGCAGTCAGTCCCAGGAAGGCAGGAGGGCAGTCCATTCTGCAAAGCAGAAGAAGGGCGGGGGTGCCGCTCTTTCCGAGGGAAGAAGGGCTGTCAGAGGAGGTGTAGCAGCTCTGAGGTGGGGGTGTCCAGCAGGGCAACCTTCGGTACCATTTCCATGGATGTTGGGGTACTGGGGAAGGGGGCTGTGCCAAGAGGAAGAGGTGGGGGGAGGGGGAAGGAAGCGCCATTAAGGGGTTTGGCTGGGAGAGAGGATTGGCACCTGCTCTGGCCCCGTTTGACACCAGCTGCTGGGCCTCCTGGGGCTGAGGCTGCCTCTGCTGTGCTTCGGCTCCCGGGCTGGGCCGCCTCCGAGAGAACGCGACCTAACAAGGACCCGAGTAATGCCCTCCTCTCCTCAGGTGGAGGTGGGCGTCCGGGGACCAGGGTGGGAGAGCATGAAGAGTCCAAGCTCGGAGGGGAGTGGAAGGGCAGAGGGACCGAGGCACCCCCGGGGTGGGCTGAGCTGGCAGCAGGAGCGTTCCACAGGTGCCCCAACGGATGCTTTCCTCTCTCCGCCAAGTTTCATCCCTGTGGGCACAGGCATGTTTATTCCATTGCTTTTAATGGGTGACAGCTGTGCCCCCGATCCTCCTGATCTGCCCTCAGGTGCCAGGCCAGCAAACCCCAGGACCGTGTGTTCCCTGAGAAGAACCCCCAACAAGTAAGCAGTGTGGGCCTGGCCTCCGGGAGTTGCGGGGTAGGGCGCCCACCAGGCTCCGGGGATGGCAAGGGCTTGTCCTGACTCCAGGGCAGTATCTGGCCTGGATAAGCGTTGGATCAGCAATGACTAAAGTGGTCCTCACCGACATCACGCAGGTCGAGCCCCGAGATGCTGGGGGGACTGGCGCAGGTGATGTTGTTGTAGGTATACACAGGTCGCTGGCCGTCTTCCCCTTCGGAAACGGCCTGGACAAAGCGGGGCACGACAGTGGGATGCTGCAGGGCGAAGGCCCTCAGGGCCTGGAGGGGGCAGCCACAGTGCCAGGGATTGCCCTCCAGCCACAGGCGCTCCAGGCCCGAAGGCTGTGGCACAAAGGTCTGCAACGAGTTGTTCCCGAGGCTGAGGTAGCGCAGCCGCAGCGGCGAAAGGATGCTCGCGGGCAGGGCCTCCAGGTGGTTGTGCGAGATGTCCAGCCAGAAGGTGCAGTGCAGGGGCCCCAGGACTTCTGCTGACAGTGCCGACAGCCGGTTGCGGGACAGGAGCAAGTACTCCAGCTTGCCAAGACCCTGGAAGAGCTGACTGGGCAGCTGCGTTAGCTGGTTTGAGGTGAGGTCCAGCTCCAGGAGCTCAGGGAGCCCCCACAGGCTCTGTTCCTCAATGGCCGTGATGCCGTTGTCCTTGAGAAAGAGCCGACGCAGCCCGGAGAGGCCAGCGAAGGTGTGCTGGCGGATGCGGCCCAGGCAGCTGCCCTCCAGGTGCAGGCTGTGCAGCTTGCCCAGGCCCTGGAACACTCGCACTGGAAGGTTCCGTAGACAGTTGCCGGAGAGGTTCATGACGGCCACGTTCGAGAGGCCGAGGAAGGCCCCCGCCTTCACCTCCTGGATCTGGTTGTCATTGAGTGTGAGCACCTCCAGCTGGCCCAGACCCTCAAAGGCCTTGTCCGGCAGCTGCCTGAGGCGGTTGTGGCCCAGCTGCAGCTCCTCCAGGAAGTGCAGGTCCTTGAAGGTGCGGGGCCGCAGGCTGGGGATGGCGTTGTGTGAGAGGCGCAGGACGTGCAGGCCCAGCAGGCCTGGGAAGGTGTCTTCCAGGAGGCCGCCCACACGGTTGTGTGACAGGTCCAGCCAGCGCAGAGCTTTCAGGCCCAGGAACGCCCCCGGGGCCATGGCGCCAATGTGGTTGTGGTCTAGGTAGAGCTTCTGGAGCTTGGGCAGCTTGACAAAGATGTTGGCCTTGATGGCCCGCAGAGCGTTCCTGCTCAGGTCCAGCTCGCGGAGCTCGCTGAGGCCGTGGAAGAGGGGGGGCTGCAGGTAGGTCAGCTTGTTGCCTGCAAGGACCAGCTCACGCAGATTGACCAGGCCCTGGAACACGGTGTCGGGGAGCACGGCCAGGCTGTTCCAGCCAAGGTTGAGGTCCCAGAGGTTGGCCAGGCCACGGAAGAGGCCCTCATCCACCCTTCTGAGGAGATTGTTGTTGAGGCCAAGTGAGGCGAGACCCGGCGTGTGCAGGAAGGTGTGAGCCCCAAGGCCGCGCAACTGGTTCCGCTCCAGGTGCAGGTGGTACAGGTTCTGCAGGCCCAACAGCACTTTGGGCTCCAGGCTGGCCAGCCCACTGCCCTGCAGATTGAGGAAGCCCAGGCTGGAGAAGTTGCGGAAGGCTGCCTCGGGGATGGAGGAGAAGTTATTGCCATCCAGCCACAGGGCCCTGGCGCTGTCGGGGATCCCGTCGGGCAGCCGTGTGAGGTTCCGGGAGCTGCAGAAGACGCTGAGCTCATCTGTGTAGTCATCGTGGCCGCAGGTGCAGATGGCTGGGCACTGCAGGCCCCCGGTGTCCCCTGGCACTCCAGGCTCCACTCCCTCCAGGCCACGGGGGCCCAGCGCTGCCCAGGAGACCAGCAGCACTGCCAGGGCCAGGCCTCCTGCAGGGAGAGGAACTTGGGGAGAGGCGGCACTAAGGGGCTCGGATGTGAACCCCAGAGTGAGAGACCTGGAGCCGTCTAAGCCTCAGCCGGCATGTGTGGGCCACCATTTAACTTGGCACCCATTCCACAGCACGCCACCGTGAGAGGCGGTGCTGCTGATGGGACTAGAGGTGTGAGCTGAGGTATGCAGTCGCCCCACTTAAATGGGAAGCAGAAGGCAGGGGTAGGGTGCTCACCAGGTGTTCTCCAGCTCAGAACAATCACAGGATTGACGGGCAATACCTCTTCCAGAGAAAACTAAGGGCTGGCCGCCCAGTGATTAGGCCATGTGTCCGTCTGTGTCCCTAACAGGGACAGTCAGCCGGGCCAAGCTGCCAGGTGGGCCTAGAGGAAGGCGTGAGCGGGAGAATGTTCTGGGTGGGTACGCGCTTGTTGCCTTTGGAGGCTGAACAGCGAATCAGATGCGTTTAGCCCGCACCCAGGTACTTGGCCCAGCACCATGGTGAGGAGAGAGACGGTGCTGGCCGAAGTGGCAGGCAGGGACCCTAGACCAGTGGTCGGCAAACTGCGGCTCGCCAGCCACATGCGGCTCTTTGGCCCCTTGAGTGTGGCTCTTCCACAAAACACCGACATCTGCCCATGGGCCACGAAGTTTCAGTCGCACTGTACGTGCGCACCTGCACGTGGTACTTTGTGGAAGAGCCACACTCAAGGGGCCAAAGAGCCGCATGTGGCTGGCGAGCCGCAGTTTGCCGACCACTGGCCTAGACCATTGGCTCAAGACCGTCAACTCCCTGGGGTCAGGTTTTGTTTCAGGACAAAGGGTGCCGAGCTTCCCAGCAGCTGTCCCAGAACCTCTGCTGGCCACTGGGCTGCCCTGCAGAGCTTGGGGTCTCGGTGAGGCACAGGCAGTGCAGCAGGATCCCCCTCACCCAACTGGATGGGCCTAGGCCCTGCGATGGAACAAGACAGCAGTGGCTTGGCCTCCAAGTGGCTGGGAGGGCAGCAAGGCCCTCGCCCAGCAGGGGTCTCCAGGGCAAGGGCCCTGGTTTGGGGTAAGAAGACACCCACCCTGCCTCCCTTGTGTTGCTGTTCTGGGCCCTTAGGAGGAGGAAAAGGTGACTCTCTGGGGCCAGGCTCAGCTGCACCCTCCACACCCCTGCGGCCCCATTACCCCCATGGGCTCCCAAAAGTTCAGCCTAGCCAGAGCCGAGCCATGTGGAGGGCTGCAGAGCCCCAGTGGGCTGGGGGGTCCGGGGAGCCTCACCTTTCCTCAGGGCCATCCCGCATGCACAGCAGACAGCAGGTCTGCTGGGGCTGGCTGTCCTGCCTTCTGGATTTCCCCACCTCCAGCGCGGCCAGGCCTGTCACAGGCCAGCTCATCCCTGCTGGCTCTGGGCTCCATTAACCCCCTCCTGTCGGGTGGCCAGGTGCCCTGGGAGTAGATGGCACAGCGGTGAAACTGGGGGCCTGCGTGCATCCTGAAGCCACCCTCAGGGTCCAAGGTGGGCCATGGTGCAGCTCTGAGGGTCAACAGGGGCCTGTCCTGTCCCTCCCCTGCTTCTAGCCCAGCCCTGCGGAGTGGGGCCAGCAGGGCGGAGGGGAGGGGACGGGGGGAGTACGCCTAGGAGCAGCCTGTGAGGGTCTGGTGCTTGGTTAGGTTTGGGGAATCCAGGAAAGAAGCCTCCTATGCTTGACTCCCCTGCCCTGGATGGGCCTCCTTGGGTAGCTCTCCGGGTCTCCCCACCTAGCTGATGGCCATGTGAGGGTTAAGCAGGAGCCACCACATTTCCCAATGGGCCTGCCCATCTGCCCTGGCACACTGACCACCCCCTTCCTAACTTGGGTGGGGTCGCCCAGCCCAGCCTTGGCTTCTCCTGTGACCTCAGGGTCAGCTGGTGTCTGGCCACTGCCCCTCCCCAGCCTCTCTGCTGGCAAATGCCTGGCAGAGCCCAGCCGCCTGATGTTTGCTTTTCGCAGGCAGGCGCCACTTTCCCAAGAAGAGATGGGGGGCAGGAGGGTGGCCTGGCCTAGGGCCAGCGTCTGCCTGCTGGGAGCCCCCATGCTGTCCTGCAGGCTCCTGTGGGGACATAGCCACTCCGTTCTGTAAATAGACCGCTGGGATGTGTGCCCAGTGCCTGGCCTGAGGTCAGAACTTAGGTGATGGCTGGCAAGGCTGCTGGAGCCTAGGGGAGCCCCACCACGCCCTTACCCGCCTGTCAGTCTCTGCTCTTCCTGCTCAAACCAGGTACAGCCTGGCCCTCCAGCCATCCCTTCCTCTATGGGGGACCCTCCCTCCCTCCCTCACGTCTGCTGTGCCTGCTCTGCCTGGGCGGTGGGCCTGTGTTTGCAAGGGTCTGGAGCAGGCCCAGCTGGGTCTGGGGAGGGCAAGGCTTACTGGTTTAAGGGACTTTCAAATGGAACATTTCTATATCCAACTGGGTGCTCAGTGGGGAGAGGAGAGGGGCAGGTGGGAGCTGCCCCAATCCTCCCGTCGGGTCTGGAAGCTCCTCACTGGGCCCAGGGACTGGAGCCCTCACCTGCCTCCCCAGTGGCAGCCCCTCCCCTGCCTCCCAGCTGTGGGGTGGCGGTGAGGGGACAGCTTTATCTCCCTCCCTTTTATTGAGCTTGGATCTTTTTCCAGGTCATTTCTCAGCTTCTGAGAAATTATAGATCTGCCTGGGAGAAAGTCCGCACCCAGAAATTTACAGAGTAAACACAGTTACACAGCAGAAAGTGTGGACTCAGCAGGAGTTCTGGGCCAGTGGGGCCTCTTCCCCGTGCTGGATCATGAGGCTGGAGCAGGGTGCGTGCACGTGGACAGGGAGGGTTGGTGGTCCTGTCACTGAACATTTGAAGGTTGGGACAGGAAATTCCTGTGATCGAGCTTGCGCGTCTGGGAAAGCCTTACTCAGTGGTTCTCAACCCTCTGGCCCTTTAAGTACAGTTCCTTATGTTGTGACCCAACCATAAAATTATTTTTGTTGCTACTTCATAACTGCAATGTCGCTACTGTTATGAATCGTCATGTAAATATCTGATATGCAGGATGGTCTTAGGCGACCCCTGTGAAAGGGTCGTTCGACCGCCAAAGGGGTCGCGACCCACAGGTTGAGAACTGCTGCCTTACAGGATTTTGGCAGCTGGGGTTGGCTATTCTTTAAATTTTTTTTTTCTTTTCTTTTTAGGGAGAAAGGGAGAGAGAAAAAACAAACATCAATTGGCTGCCTCCTGCATGCACCTGAGGACCGAGCCATAACCCAGGCATGTGCCCTGACTGGGAATCGTACCAGCCACCTTCTGGTGCACAGGACAAAGCTCAACCAACTCAGCCACGCTGGCCGGGTGGGTTGGGAGCTTTAAATCTGCGAGTTCTGCAGGAACCCTCCCGGAGTAGTCGGGAGCCACTCCCTGCTGGGACACCTGGACGCCACATGCTGCTCTGTCTGCTCTTACCCCGGAGGGGACAGTGGCTTTCCTTGTCTGTGTCTCCTCCATCCCCGTGAGGTGGCAGCTCAGGCTCACTGGCCGGTGGGCTGTCCTCTCTGAAGCGCAGGTTTCAGCCTCTGGCCAGTTTTCTATTTGGTTGTCAAGTCTGAATTATAAGACAAAAAAAAAATCACATTAAGATGCAAGCCACTGTCGGGGTGGGGAGCCCATGCTTTCTGCTCTGTAATTTGCTTTTTTGTGCTCTTTATCATGGTAGTGGCGAGAGTTAGTTTAATGTGGTCTCTCATAAGCTGTTCCTTAAATGTTATGAACTTGATTTCCCAAATACCAACAGTAAGGATGGAAAAAGTCCAAAAAGGTTTTTTTTATGTAGTCCAATTTATCAAACTGGTTTCAGGTCCTATTTGTCACATGACTTTTATGATCTTCTAAAATACCTTGAAAACATGTTACCTTTCACCGTGACATCTGCAGGCTACCTGCTCTCCAGTCCACTTCCTAAGCATGTGAGGCAGAGCTCACGTTTCATTCTCCTCAGTGGGTCCCCGGGGCTCACTACCATTTAGTTCGTGGCTGTCCTTGCTCCCTGCTCCTCAGTGTCCACTTCAGCGAGGGCCTTTCTGGGCTCTCCTTGCCCCCTCAGCGTCCACCTGCACCATGGAGGCTTTTCAGTGGGTCTCGGCAGCTGGTGGAGCAGGCCCTCCCTCCACTTCCTCCTCTGAGAGCACTTGGCTACTAAGTCCTTTTCATTTCCTCATCTGCTGCGGGAGCAGCTTGTCAAGTATCTAAAATGAAGCCAAAAGACTTTTTTTAAAAAGATTTATTTTAGGCCTGGCCGGAGTGGCTCAGTGGTTGAGTGTCGACCTATGAACCAAGAGGTCGCGGTTTGATTCCCGGTCAGGGCACTTGCCTGGGTTGTGGGCTGGATCCTCAGTGTGGGGCCTGCAGGAGGCAGCCAACCAGTGGTTCGCTTATCATTGATGTTTCTCTCTCCATCTCCCTCTCCCTTCCTCTCTGAAATCAATAAAAATATACCATTTTTCAAAGCAAATAAAGATTTATAAAATATAATTTTTTACTGATTGTTAAGAGGAAAGGAGGGGGAGAGAAGCATCCATCAGCTGCCCCTGCACACCCCCTACAGGGTGGCATCAAGCTCGCCTCCAGGGCATGTCCTGACCGGAGTCAAACCAGCAGCCTTTTGGTGCATCAAACCAACTGAGCCACACCAGCCAAGCCTCTTGAATTATGAATTGTGTTACAATTTGGGGAGAATTGACATCACAATACTGAGTCTTTTGATTTGTGTAGATGGTGTAATTCTCCTTTTTATTTAGGTCTCCTTTGGTTTCTCCCTTTCTGTAGATTCTGTGTTGTGATTTTGCATATATTTTTTAGATTATTTTTCCTAGATGGTTGTTACTAGATACTATGATAAATATCTTTTCTCCTTTAACTTTGTGGAGATTGAAATTGTTTGCTAAAAATAGGTTGGGAAAACAAAGTATTAACGGATGTGGTGCTTTTACTCAGTACTTTCTTTTTCTTTTAAAACAATATATATTTTATTGATTTTTTACAGAGAGGAAGGGAGAGGGATAAAGAGGTAGAAACATCAGTGAGAGAGAAACATTGATCAGCTGCCTCCTGCACACCTCCTACTGGGGATGTGCCCGCAATCCAGGTACATGCCCCTGACCGGAACCAAACCTGGGACCTTCCAGTCCACAGGCTGATGCTCTATCCACTGAGCCAAACCGGTTAGGGCTACTCAGTACTTTCTTAAACATCTTTATTGATATGTGATTCACACATCATACAATGCATCATTTTATGTATACGTAAGTATACAACTCAATGATTATTTTTTTTCGATGATTCTTAATAAATGTGTAGAGTTGAGAAATCATACTCATCTAGCTTTAGAACATTCCCATACAGTACGTGGTCCTCTGCGTCTTACCTTATTCACTTAGCGTAGTGTTTTCGGTTCATCCACATGAGAAAGTGTTAATTTTCACTCCTTTTTATGGCTGGATGGTATTCCAGTGTATGGATTTGCCCCATTTTGTGTATCCATTCATCAACTGATGGACATTTGGGTTGTTTCTATTGGGGTTATTACTATTAATGCTGCTATGAACATTTGTATATGACCCTTTGTGTGGATGTGTATTTAATTCCTGCTGGAGTGCTTCCTAGGAGTGGATTACTGATTCATATAGGAGTTATGTCTTAACTTAAAACACCACCAACAAAAAACCTGTTGCCCTGGCCAGTGTGGCTCAGTTGGCTGAGCATCATCCTATGTACTGAAAGGTTGCCAGTTCAATTCCTAGTCAGGGCACATACCTAGGTTGCCAGCTGGATCCCCAGTGAGGGCATGTGGGAGGCAGCCAATCAATGTTCCTCTCTTCCTCTTCCTCTCTCTTTAAAAGCAGTAAAAAAGTTTTTTTAAAAAATGATATTCCAGCCAGAACTGGTTTGGTTCAGTAGATAGAGCGTCAGCCTGCGGACTCAAGGGTCCTGGGTTCGATTCTGGTCAGGGGCATGTACCTTGGTTGCGGGCACATCCCCGGGGTTGGGTGTGCAGGAGGCAGCTGATTGATGTTTCTCATCGATGTTTCTAACTCTATCCCTCTCTCTTCCTCTCTGTAAAAAATCAAAAAAATATATTTTTTAAAAAAATGATACTCCAGTTCACATCCTCACCAACATTTGGTATGGTTACTTTTAAATTTTGAATGATTCTAATTTTAATTTGTTTTCTCTGACAATGATGTTGGGCCCTTTTCATATGTTTATTGACCATTCTTATAACTTCTTTGGTGAAATGTTTGTGTATTCAAGATTTTGCCCCTTTAAAAAAAATCTTTATTGTTGAAAGTATTACATATGTTCCCTTTTCCCCCACATTGACCCCTGCTACGCCCCCCCCCCGCCCCCGACCTTCACCACCCTATTGTCTGTCCATGGGTTATGCATATATGCATACAACTTCTTTGATCACTTCCCATCCACCTACCCTCCCCTGCCTTCCCTCTGCGATTCTGCAGTCTGTTCTATGTGCTATGTGTAGATTTATGTTGTTCATCAGTTTATTTTGTTCATTAGATTCCACATATGAGTGAGATCATGCGATACTTTTTCTCTCTCTGACTAGCTTATTTTGCTTAGTATAATACTCTCCATATCCCTCCATGCTGTCTCAAAGGGTAAGAGAGCCTTCTTTTTATTTTTTACTGCTGCATAGTATTCCATGGTATAAATGTACCATAGCGTTTTTATCCATTCATCTACTCTTTTGCCTATTTTTAAATTGAGTTGTCTTCTTAGTAAGTTCTGATTCCCTAGCTCAGTGGTCGGCAAACTGCGGCTTGGCAAACCATGGCTTGCGAGCCACACGCGGCTCTTTGGCCCCTTGAGTGTGGCTCTTCCACAAAATACCAACTTCTGCGCATGGGCCATGAAGTTTCAATCACACTGTACGTGCGTGCCCGCACGTGGTATTTTGTGGAAGAGCCACACTCAAGGGGCCAAAGAGCCGCATGTGGCTCGCGAGCTGCAGTTTGCTGACCACGGCCCTAGCTGGTTTGGCTCAGTGAGTAGAGTGTCGGCCTACGGACTCAACGGTACCGGGTTCAATTCTGGTCAAAGGCACATGCCCAGTTGCGGGCTCAACCCCCAATGGAGGGCGTGCAGGGGGCAGCTAATCAATAATTCTCTCTCGTCATTGATGTTTCTATCTCTCCTTTTCCTTCCTCTCTCAAATCAATAAAAATATTTTTTAAATAAGTTCTCAAATTTTATACATTATGGATACAAGACTTTATATATTTTGAATTATCAGATATGACATTTGTAGGTATTCTTCTCACTCTATGACTTGTCTCCTCATTTTTAAAAATATATTTTTGTTGGTTTCAGAGAGGAAGGGAGAAATAGAAACATCAATGATGAGAATCATTGATCAGCTGCCTCCCGCACACCCCACAATGGGGATCAAGCCCACAACCCAGGCATGTGCCCTGATTGGGGGATCAAACCGTGACCTCTGAGTTCATAGGTCAACATTCAACCACTGAACCATGCTGGCTGGGCATGTCTCCTCGTTTTTTAAAATGCTGTCTTTTTTTAAAAAATATTTTTTTATTGATTTCAGAGAGGAAGGGAGAGGGAGAGAGAGATAGAAACATCAATGATGAGAAACATTGATCGGCTGCCTCCGGCACACCCCCTTATGGGGATCGAGCCTGCAACCCAGGTATGTGCCCTTGACCAGAATTGAACCTGGGACCACAGGCTGATGCTCTATCCACTGAGCCAAACCGGCTAGGGCTAAAATGCTTTTTGAAGTGCAAGTTTTTTACTCTTAAGTCCAATTTATCAATTTTTTTCTCTTTTAAGGCTCACGTTTGGTGTTGTGTCTTACTCTGCCTAATCCAAGATCACAAAATGTTCTCCTGTTTTCTTCTAAAAGCTTGATTACTTTTAGATGTTACATTTAAGTCTATGATCCAGTTACAGTTAGTGTATAATGTGAGATGAGGGTCTAAGTTCACTTTTAATGTATAGATACCCAATTGTCCCAGCACCAATTGTTGAAAAGACTATAATTTGCCCCACTGAAATTTCTTTGCATCTTTGTTGAAATCAGTTAACCATAAATATAAGGATTTATTTCTAGACTCTCAATTCTGATCCATTAAACTACATGCCTATTATCCTTGCACCAATATATTACTGTGGATTTATAGTAAGTTTTGAAATTAGGCAGTGTACGTCCTCCAACTTAGTTCTTTTTCAAAATTGGTTTGGCTCTGCCCTAGCTGGTTTACTCAGTGGTTAGAGCACTGACCCATGGACTGAAGGGTCACAGGTTCAATTCCAGTCAAGGGCACATACCTGGGTAGCAGGCTTCATCCTGGCCCCAGTTGGGTGTGTGCAGGAAGCAACCAATTGATGTGTTTCCCCCCTCCCTTCTCTCTAAAAATCAATGGGGAAAAATATCCTTGGGTAAGGATTAACAACAAAAAAAATGTTTTGGCTCTTCTAAGTCTCGTATTTCCATATAAATTTTAGGGTCAGTTTACTTTCTCCCAAAAATCCTGCTGGGATTTTGATAGGGATTACATTGGACCTATAGATCAATTTGGGGAGAATTGATATCTTTTTTTTTTTTTTTTTTTTTTAGTGTTTTTATTTTTACTTGAATTTGTTGGGGTGACATTGGTTTATAAAATTATATAGAGTCAGGTATACAATTACATAATACATCTGTATATTGTGAGAATTGACATCTTTAGTCTTTTAGTGGAATATGGAGTATCTTTCCATTTATTTGGATCTTTAATTTTTCCCTTATCAGATTTTTATAGTTTTTAGTGTATAACTCTTACATTACTTCTGATAAATTCCTAAGTTTTTGGCCTATTAGTACATAGAAATAAAATGGATTTTTTTTCTCATTAATCTATATGCTAGCACCATGGTTGGCAAACTGCAGCTCGTGCGCCACATGCGGCTCTTTGGTCCCTTGAGTGTGGCTCTTCCACAAAATACCACGTGTGGGCGCACACGTACAGTGCGATTGAAACTTCGTGGCCCATGGTCAGAAGTCGGTTTTTGGCCTGGGCGAGTCTATTTTGAAGAAGTACTGTTGATATTTGGCTCTGTTGACTAATGAGTTTGCTGACCACTGTGCTAGGACCTTGCTAAACTTACAAGTTCCAGGTGGGTGTATGTATCTGGATTCCTTAGGATTAGCTATATATAGGATCAAGACATTTTTACTTCAACATGTGTACTACTTTTTTCTTTTTTGTGTGTGTGCCTTATTGCACATCCAGTACAGTGTTGAGTAGAAGTAGCAAGAGCAGACATTCCTACCTTGTTCCTGATTTTACAGAAAAGCATTGTCATTTGCCATGAATATGATGCTGATATTTTTCATAGTAGTTGCTGTGATGGGCACTGATGCTCCCCCAACCAAAGATACCCATGTTGTTATCCCTGCAATCATGAATATGTCAGGTTACATAGCAAAGGAAATTAAGGTTGCTAACCAGCTGACCTCAAAATAGTGAGATAAGTGGATTTTCCAAGTGGAGCAAATGTAATTACAAGGGTCCTTAAAAGTGGAAGAGGGGTCAGAAGAGGTCCTGCTCTTCTGGAGGAGTACCCCCCTCCCCTCCTTTCTGAGTTTGTGAAGTGATTGGTTACTGGTAGAATGCATTAGTGAAGGCATGTGGGCCTGGGCTTCCCTTTGCATGAAGACTTCAGGCTTTTATCAATTGAATTTTTTGTTAGGTCTATTCTGATTTTGTTTGTGAGGCAATGTGAGAAGGACTCGATCCACAGTTGCTAGCTTTTGAATATGGAGGCTGGAAGCGAGGAGCCAAGGAAGTAGGCACCTCTAGAATCTAGAAAAGGCAAGGAAACAGATCCTCCTCCCGCTGAAATCTCCAGAAGGAAATAGGCCTGCTGACCATCCAGTGTGGCTCATGTCAGACTCCTGACCTCCAGAACTGCCAGATGGTAAGTCTGTTGTTTTTAAGTCACTAACTTTGTAGCCTTCAGAAATTCCGTCCTTTGTAGGTGGAGGAAGCTTTCTTCTATTCCTAGTCTGTTGAAGCTTTTATTATGAATGGGTGTTGGATTTTGCCAAATGTTTTTCTGCATCCACTGAGATGATATTGTGGGTTTTATCTTTTATTCATTAATATGGTCTACCAGTATTTGAGCCCAGCCAAAATGGCTCAGTGATTGAGCATCAACCTATGAAGTAGGAGGTTGAGGTTTAATTGTCGATAATCAGGGCACACGCCCCTATTTCAGGCTCAATCCCCAGTGAGGGGCTTATAGGAAGCAGCCAGTCAATTATTCTCTCTCCTCATTGATGTTTCTATCTCTCTCCCTTCCTCTCTGAAGTCAATAAAAGGATATGTGTGTGTGTATGTGTGTATATATACACACACACATATATATATGTGTGTATATATATATATATATATTAATGTTCTATTTAAAATATACCACTTTTAGATACTAGTATAAATATCTACTGCTTTTAGATATTTAACCAACCTTGCATTCCTGTGATAAATCCTATTTGGTAATGGTGTATACTGTTGGTATTGCTGTATTTGGGTTGCTAACTTTTTATTTATTAAGGATTTTACGCCTGTATTCATGAGAGACACTGATCTACATAAGGGATATTGGTCTCATTTTCTTTTTTTGTGATAGCTTTGCCTGGCTTTGGTATCAGGATAACATTAGACCCATAGAATGAGTTGGGAAGAATTCCCTCCTCTATTTTCTGGGAGTTTGAGAGTGATTGGTGTTACTGATAGAATGCATATATCTAATTCCACTGGGGTTAGAGAATATATTTTGTATAATTTCAGTCTCAATATTTATGGTGATGAATTTTGTGGCCTAAGATAGGGTCTATCCTGGAGAATGTTTCATAGGTACCTGAAAAGGATATCAGTGGAATGTTCTTTAAATAAGTAGGTTCACTTGAATGATAGTGTTCAGTCTTTTTTATCCTTGCTGATGTTCTGTCTAGTCCTAAAATCTCCATTTATTATTGCTGAATTACCTATTATTCCTTTCAGTTTCTAAAATTCTTTTTCCCCATTGACTGCCTTCCACCGCTGCCCATTGAAACCAGACATGAGGTATTTGTTGCTGCAACAGAGGATTGTTATAACAGAAATCACAGAGAAGAAGAAATTGATTATTGGTTGTAGAGCTTAAGTCAAGGTTATGGCCTAAGAATATCTGCTGACAAACAGAGCAGAACAACTCTAAGCTAGGGGTGTGGGGAGAGTGAAGAGGAAGAGGAAGGATGTGGCTCCTGACGTCCTGCTCCTTGGCCTCTTACCCCCACATACCACCTGGCCTGAGTGGAATCCCAGATTGGCTTGAGGGTCTGAGCTCAGAGTTCAGAAAGCAGATAGAGGCACATGGGAGGGATGTGTGTGTCCTGGGCCTTCCTCTCAGGATCTATCTAGGGACCCTAGGCCAGGCTCCCCGGATTCATGGTGATCGCTTCTTCCCCAGGTCTCTCTGCTGCCCCAGCTCAGAACCAGTCACCCGTAGAAGAGGGGGGCCAGGAGAGGCCTGGTTAATATAATGATCACAAGTTTCAGAGTACTGGGCAGAGGTGGGGGCTGCACAGCGTGCCTCTGAATTGTACATTTTTAAGTGGCTAATTGTATGTTGTGTGAACCTCACCTCAATTTAAATAAACAAACTCTAAAAGGTTTTTATTACTACTAAAACCTAAGTGATTCTGTAGCTAGAGAGAAACGTACCACTGGGACTCGTGCAGGACACACAGCAGATCAGCTGGGTCACTGTGGAAGAAACAGCAAGGACCTGGTCAGGCCCGTGTTTGGCCCACACGACAGAAGACCACACTCAGGGAGCAGCTCCCATGGGCATCAGTAAAGGGTCAGACCAAACGCACAGGGACAAGGCTTAGTGAGAGATGGAGCCCGCAGCCAGAGCAGTCAGGAAATACTTCAGAGTAAAAATCCTCAGCCCTAGCTGGTTTGGCTCAGTGGATAGAGTGTCAGCCCGCAGACTGAAGGACCCCAGGTTAAGATTCCGGTCAAGAGCATGTACCTTGGTTGCAGGTTCCCCAGCCCTGGTTGGGGTGCGTGCAGGAGGCAACCAATGTGTCTCTCTCACATCGATGTTTCTGTCTCTCCCTCTCCCTTCCACTCTCTAAAAATCAATGGAAAAATATCCTCGAGTGAGGATTAACCAAAAATAAAAGTCCTCAGAAGGAAGAGGGAAGACACTGGCTAGGAATCAGTAACAAGGACTGTTTCTGTTTGATGGCATCATTTCAGTCCACCTCAGATGCCTGAGCCGTTGTCAGGGAAGATGTGTCGTGCCTGACACTGGGTACTCAAGGATTTTTCGCTTTCCTCGAGTAGTAGAGAAAGCAGGAGCGCGAAGCAAGAGGCAAACAGCAACTAGAGCTCTGTCGGGGAGAGGGAGCCCGACAAGGACATCGCAGACACGATTAGTAAACGCAGGAAAGAGAAACTCACCAAAAGCAGCCGGAGAAGAATAGAAGTAGCCCTGTAACCATTAAAACCCACAGAGAAGACACCAGGCTCAGACTAGAAGTGCCTTCTACAAACTTCTGAATAAGAAACGTTCCTAAAAAATGTTTATCATTTACCAGAACTAGACAGACTCTGAGAAAGGAACCAGCAGCTGACATTCTGATGAAATGGGATTTAGCCCAAGACTCTACTGGCAACTTCGCACTGAATAACTTCATGTAACCCCCCAGACCAGAGGAGAATGGCCAGCTGATGCAGAAAAGCAGGTGGCAAGATCCAGTTCCCATCCTGGATGCCTTCTCGCAAAGAAAGGAAGGACCGTGCTCAATGTAATAACAGGTACTCAGCCTGACCGCCACCCTTGAGGGGAGGAGCGGCCTCGGTGCCCATGGTGCCACACCTGCCACTTCCTCCTGGCAGCACCACTCCCCTGCCCTTCCTCTCTCTACTGATGGTTCCTCTCCGGTTCCAGACCTATGAACGCCTGAGATCTCGACCTCCCGCATGACGGCACCTGCCTCCCGGCTTTAGGACTCACCACACGCTGGTGACTCCTCACGGGCATTTCCAGGTGGACCTTGCCTTGAACTTCCCTGCCTACCCGGCTGTTTCATAGGCATTTAAACTCAACTTGTCCAAACCTGACCTCCCACGACTCCAGTGAGTAAATGGACATGGAATCCCCTTAACAGCACTCACGGCTCAGATCCAAGCCGGGAGCAAACGCCTCTGCCTGCACCTCAGCTCACTGGGAACTCACCACCTCTCACCTCCACCTGCTGCTCCCGCGACCCTGCCATGACACTCGGAGAATCCTAGTAGGGTCAGGTACGACCTGCCTCTGCACCTCTGAGTGTGGGCGCCAAGTCCTCCCGTGCCCTGTACCCTGACCCACTCCCCTCCCCTCTGCCCGCACAGCCTCGCTCTTCCGCAGACCTGCTCGGGGTATCTGGGCAGCCTCTCCCTAGATCCCCTCAATTTTACTTCATGGCACCTCCTCAGTGAGGCCTCCCCTTGGGTGCTCTATCCCTAAGTGCTGTTTTTTCTCTGCAGTGCTCCCTCCGTCTGACCTGCCAGCACTTCTGTCATCTCTGTCTTCATCCCTCAGGATGAAGCTCCACAGGGAAGGGACTTCTGTCTGCTCACTCCGAGTCCCTGGAGTGTCCGGCATCTGCCACATCAGCGCATTCAGACATTTAGGAAACCAATGAAGTCAGAATAAAGGCCAATGTGTCCACTTGCCTCACTTCAACAGGGAGATCTGGAAAACCACATCCCAGATGGAACTCAGAGGGTCTACAAAGGAACAACATCAGGGTGAGCAAGTTTAGTGGGTTCCCAGAAACAAAGTCTACGGCCCTTTACTTTCTGACCACTGGGGACCTTTAAATGAAGGTGCCATTTACAACACATCAAAACCCAAAGTACCTGGGACCACACTGTCCCAGAGAACTGGCCTCTGGGAAGGAAGTTCTAAAACCTGGTGAAAAGACATCTGACAAATAATAATTTCTCTGGCCTTTATCCCTATTGAGGGGAAGGAACCTTGAATTCCTTAATATGCCCCTGGCCCCCTGAGCTTACACTCATGAGGTGACTCAGGGCTGTCACCAAAAAGGCCTCCCTATGATCAGAGGAGTGGGTGGGTGGGCAGGGCTGGAGTTCAGTCACGTGGTCAGCGATTCCATGGCCGACACAGTGACACCCCAAACTACCTGGCCTTTCCTGTGGGTGCGCACCCGGATGTGCCCGGAGGGAGACACGCTTGCACTCCACAGAGAGGAACAGTCAGTGCTCTGGACCCTCCCAACCTCACCCTGTGGGTCTTTCCACTTGGCTGGTCTTGGTTTGAATCCTTTATTCTAAAACTGCTATCATATCCTTTATAATACAATCAGAAGTCCGGCGTCTCTCTGAATTCTAAGTCATCCTACTGAGTTATTGAATCTGAGGGGGTCATGGGAACCCCCCGAATTTATAGCCAGTTGCTCAAAAGTGCAGGTGGCCTGGGGGTCCCAGGCTTCCAGCTATTGTCTACGGTGAGGGCCGTCATGTTGGGGACCGTGCCTGTCACGGGTGGGTCCGTGCTAACACTGGTGGTCAGCACCACAGGTGCGCTTTAGTGGCACTGCGTGGACAGCACCAGAGACCCAGTGGATGGACAAGCAGCATGTTCACCTGAAACTCTCCAAACCACACACAATCATTTCTTCCCAATCTAGTGAGTCAGTATCACTCCAGTCCGAATTCCAGATAGCAACACCCTAATGTTTATACATAAGGGCAAGGGCCATCACTCTCCTACAGGCGGAGGCTGGGTCGTGTCCGTCCTGGAAATGAACAACTGCCCTAAAGCTGCAGAGACGGGAAGGGGCCGGCGCCAGGACAGCGGGCACAACAGACATGGAGCCCACAGGGCATGCGGCACCTGGGACGCTCCCCAGCGCTGGCAGGGCCGACAGAGAGGGGCACTGGGTATCCAGTCACCAGCATAAATAGCATTTCCACATGAATTATAAACAGTGTGAAAAGCAAAACAAAAACGACTGTGTGAAATTACAGGAAGGCATAGAGGAGAGAAAGCGTTAAGACACAAAAGCATTTACCATGATGTGAAAAAGGATGCATTTGACTATAAGAAATTAGGAATTTCTTCAACAGAGCACCAGAGTCTGAAGCTGGCAACAAACTAGGTGATAACTGTCCACACCCACAACCAAAGAACTCGGGAAGTTTGCCGCATGGAGTGAAAGGACTCTTGGTCAATAAGAAGCAAAACCCAGTAGGAAACCACCTGGAGCCGTGGTCCGTGCGCCGTGCTGGAGGGGCCAAGTATTCTGAATTCACACATCTTTCCACCAGCGCCCACTGCCGCTGCCGCTGCCGCAGGGACTGGAGGGCAGGGCTTCCAAGCTGTGGCTCCAGACCCAGGCTCGGGCCACAAGTCCAACCTCAACTGTGAGACCACCTGCAGCCCAGCTACAGAGCCAGAGCCCACCAGGTCTCGAGGGCGGCTGCAGGACCCAGCACACCCAGGTGAAAGCACCCATTGTTTTCTTTTAATCCTCACCTGAGGCTATTTTTCCACTGATTTTTTTAGAGAGTAAGAGAGGGAAAGGCAGAGAGAAACATTAATGTGGGAGAAACACATCGACTGGTTGCCTCCCGCATGAGCCCTGACCAGGGCCCAGGCCGGGGAGGAGCCTGCAACCAAGGCATGTGTCCTTGACTGGAATCGAACCCGGAACCCTTTGGTTCGCAGGCCAATGCTCTATCCACTGAGCCAAACTGGCCAGGGCAAAGCACCCATTCCTTTTTTTTTTTAAAATAAATTTTATTGATTTCAGAGACAAATGGAGAGAGGGAGATAAAAACATCAATGATGAGAGAGAATCATTGATCAGCTACCTCCTGCACACCCCCTATTGGGGATCGAGTCCACAACCCAGGCATGTGCCCTTGACTGGAATGAAACCCAGGACCCTTCAGTCCACAAGCCGACGCTCTATCCACTGAGCCAAACCAGCTGGGGCAAAGCACCCATTCTTTAGAGCTCAGCTCTCCCAGAGGAGCAGGAGGGATTCCCAGACTCAGCAGCACGCAGACAGCTGCAGAGTGACCTGCGCCCCAAGCTCAGCAAAGAACAGGGACAGATGACCTTCAGGACCTGAGGACTCTAGGGAGAGCGGCTTTGCCATGACCTGCCTGGGAGGAGCAGTAGAGCTGACATCAGCAGGAGCTGTGGCACACGCGCTGCGTGAGTGTCATCACAAGAGCAAAGACTGACCAGAGGCTGCAGTGACAGGCTCCGCGAGCAGAGCCTTCACAGACCAGGCGCCTGGCACTGTTCTTTTGTAATAGATGGAGGCCAAACTGAAAATGTCAGACGCAGAAGAAAACTTCCAAATCCAGAAAAGTGTTAGTTGGGAACAAACACCCCTTCTTCCTACCACCAAAACCCTGAATGCCACCACACCCCATAGCTGCCTCCACCTGTTCCTCGCTCGGACAGCCCGCCCGCTCGGCCTGGGATTGGGACTCACTGCAAGAGCCTACCCAGTGTGCCCAGGGCCTAGGCCTAGCCTGACACTGCAGCTAAGGAGCCACCCCGAGCATGGTGGCTTCCCAGGACAGCCGCAGTTCGAGTTTTCTCAGGCAAAAGCAGAGGATACAGCGTTTGAGCAGGGACGCCTTCACAGAGAGCTCAGCCTCGGCCTCTGCCGCTGCCGCTGCCGCTGGGAGGAAGGACGCAGACACCCTTCCCGGCCGGGCCTGCGTGGGCCAGACCTGAGCAAGGCTGCATGCGCTGGCCGTCGTGTCCTACAGCCTCATGGGCACCTGGAGGCTCCAACGCAGACGGTGTCCTGGAGTCCCCTCCTGCCAGCTTCTCTGCCCACACTGGTCCCTGGGAACATTCCAGGCCAGGCCCGCCTTTGCAGGGATGGGGTGTGCAAAGTGTGAACCTCTGTGAGCACCGCGTGCAGAGGTTCCCAGCCTGACTCCCGCAGGCCTGGCCCCCGCCTCTGGCCTCACAGCACCAGTGACCCAGCCCAGGGAGGTCCTCAAGGCCTGACTACATCAACACAAAAACAATTTTGTGAAGATGACACAGGATCCTTGAGAGAATGACTTCCTCTAGAAGTAGCTGGGTGAGAGGAAGAGGAATGGGCGTGCCAGCAGCTCCTTCTTACGGTGCCAGGACAAAGAGGAGAGCGCACCCCCTTCTAGGGGCTCTGTTCTGGTGAGCACGGGGCTGCTGGCCTTGGCAGGAGAAAGAGGGATAGCTCTTATTGGGGTGTCATGCAGGGGCCCCACAAAAAAGCCAGAGAACACAGTCTGCAAGCAGAACTTTGGGAATAAAAGTTTTCTAAATTCTCTGGTAAATACGCATTAAAACATTTGATAACACAAGCAAAGGGCTTTACAATTAATTTAAATTAAACCAAGACTGAATTTCCTACACTCCCAGCAGGAAGTTCACCTAAAACATCTGAATACTGGATGCAGCAGCCATGGGCACCCCAGGCCTCAGTCCCGGGGCACCTTGAAACTGTCCTTCTCTTTGCGGATGGCCCTCATGGTGGTGACAGGGTCCGTCTCGCCCGCGTGCTGCTGCACAGTCTTCTCCCTGCAGAAGCCGAGTGCCAGGATGCAGGCTGTCTTGCCCTGCTCACAAACCCCTCCCAGGACACCAGGGAATAGCCCATGGCCAACTTGGGTGTTTCTGTGGATGGTGTGCTGGCCAAGCCCGTCCTGCTGGCGACCCAGAGGGCAGGAACGTCAATCCCATGCTGGCGTCTGGCAGTGCCCAGCACCACGAGGCTCGAGAATGCACCCGCCCACCTACAGATCCCGACTCTGGGGTCTGAAAAGACCCATGCCCTTGCCAGGGCACCAAGCAGTGTCCCCACCGCCTTTAGGAAAATGTGTCTGATCTGTGGCTATAGTTAATCCAGATTTCTGGGCAGTCTCCGCCATTTGGGATCTTCAGGAGTTTCAGTGAGTGGACATAGAGCTTGAGTGAAGCAGAGGCCAAGACGCCCGAGGCCAGGGTGGGCCCTGCTTGCGCCCACCTGCTCGCACCCTCACCTCACTCTCATGAACGGGTTATAGGTGAACTCCTCTGCAATGGTGGACGGCACTGTGGGCTCCCCAATACTGTACTTCTCCTGCAAAGGAAACACATCACTTTACTACACAAACTTCTAAAGATCTTCATTTCAAAATACCGTCTACTGATCTTAAAACACCTTCTGGCTGAGAAGGCAAAGTGAGCAGTCGGCAGTGTCGGGTCGGACACCTTCCTGCTCATGGAGGGGGGATAAGAGTATTGCAGCTGTCACAACCCGTCCTCCTTTGCTGTCCTGGAGCGGGAGGGGCAGGGGGACATGGAGCTTTCTTTTATTAATATGAAGTTTCTGTTCCACATTACAGAAGTAATAACCAGCCAAAATGCAGAAAATATGAAAAGAAGAAAACACCCACCACCCCACACCCGAGACAAGTGCAGGCTTGTGTACAGCTCATTACTGGGAAGAACAGCAAGAAGTCAGATGCCCAGGGTCCCTCCCCTGGCACGACAGCCCCCTCTACAGGGTGGTGAGTTCTCATGTAGGGTATTCAGGCTTCCCCTAGGGCAGCGGTTTTCAACCTGTGGGTCGTGACCATCGGAAAACACATATAGCATATCAGATATTTACATTACGATTCAAAACAGTAACAAAATTACAGTTATGAAGTAGCAACGAAAATAATTTTATGGTTGGGGTCACCACAACATGAGGAACTGTATTAAAGGGTCGCGGCGTTAGGAAGGTTGAGAACCACTGCCCTAGGGAGAAGCACCCTGGAAGAGCCCTTGGCAGGCACCCTGTCACCTCCAGTCAGGATGGTCTTGCCCCTGATCAACACTGACCAAGGCAGACAGAGAGAAGATGCAAATTGGGCCGTTTGGCCAACTGTTAGCTTCTATAGAAACTCCACAAGAAGGTCAGGATTGAGAGCCGGGGTCTCCACCCTCCTAGCCACCCCTGCCCTCTGCCCAGCTAACCTGGAGGGTCACGCCATAGTTGCAGACACCCAAGCCCAGGCTTCCTGACCATTCAGGGGCCCTCAAACCTGAGAGTATGGATCTTACCGCCCCCCACACTGTGATCACTGGCATCAAGCAGTAATCCTTCATCATCAAAAGTCCTCTTTCTCCTGCCTGCGCTTCCTTTGCATCCCTCTCAGCAGGTGTCAGGGTGGGCCCTACACCAGTGTGTGTGTGTGTGTGTGTGGGGCGCTAGGGGCTATTGTAGCTCCTCCAGGGCAAAGGCTGCCTGACTTCCTTCGTGTCCCTTTGCCCGGTGCCTGCATAGGGAGGTGCTCACAGTGGGTTAAAGACATGTAAGAGGAACACTAACTACAGCCAGCCATACCACGAGGTATTTTGCAGCCATATAAAGGACTGGAGCTGGAACATGCCGCACATTGGGCCAAGTGAGAGAAGCCCATAGTGCGCGATCCCATTGATGCCCATAGAAACAGAAGTGAGTGGTGCCAAGGCCCGGGAAGAGAGGAGATAGGGGAATAGTGACTGCTAGTAGGTATGACATTCCTTTTGAGGTGATGAAAATGCTCTAACATTTATTGTGGTGATGATTGTACAACTCTTGACTATATGGAAAACCATCGAACTGTTCACACTAAGTGGAAATTATGTGGTTGGTTGATTATACTTCAATAAAGCTGTTTTGTTTTTTGTTTTGTTTTTTTAAAAAAAGAAGTAATCCTTCAACCATGGGAGGTGTGTTGAGTCGGGATGGGGCAGGAGGTCAAGATGAAGGTTTACTGCTAATCTCTGTTCTTTCCCTGTCCCTGAAAACAAGCTTAGAAGGTTTTATAATGTTCCCTGTGCTCCTGTATTCACTTCTAAGAAATCTTACTCTGTTTCCTATGAGGGAAGAAAACAAGTTAACTCTTCTAAGGATAATTTTAAAACAGATTCGTACATGTATAGTTGGGGGAGTGTAAACTGTCCTAACCCCTTAGATTATCTGTTAGAGTGAGTGTCAATGAGCAGCGATTTTCCTACAGAAGCAGGAAGGATGCAGTGTAAACACTGCAGCACCGTTCGCAAGAGCACGCTGGAAACGCTAACTGTCCTCTCTAGTGAGCTTGGTACAATGATATGTAAGTGGCATTCGCACATTAGTATATTTGAAAGTAAGATGGATGGGTAGACAGTGGTAAAATACATACAATAAAATAATGTTAGAAGAGAGTAGGTGTTGGGTATATGAATGTTTTTATATGTGTGAAAATTCTCATAATAAAATGTTTAAAAGGCAAAAAAAGTTTAACACAGTTTGATATAACCCATGTGTCAAAGAAGAACTCACAAGAGATATTTTTTAAATATTTCAAATTGAAGATAATGAAAATATAACATTTGAAAACGTATGGGATAATGTTAAAGCAGTTCCTGAAAGTAAGTTTTTAGCTTTAAGTGCTTATATTAGAAAAAAAGAAAAGTCTAAAATCAATGAACTCAGGTTCCGTATTAAGAATCTATAAAAGAAGTAAATCCGTAGTAAGTAAATGGAAGGAGTTTAAAAAGATAACAGCAGAAATCTGTGCAATGGAAAAACCAAGTAAGGAAAATTAAGGCAAAAGTTGTTCTTTTTAAAAAATCAAGAAAATTGATAAGAATGATGAAGAAGCCGAAACCGGTTTGGCTCAGTGGATAGAGCATCGGCCTGCGGACTGAAAGGTCCCAGGTTCGATTCCGGTCAAGGGCATGTACCTGGGTTGCGGGCACATCCCCAGTAGGAGATGTGCAGGAGGCAGCTGATCGATGTTTCTCTCTCATCGATGTTTCTAACTCTCTATCTCTCTCCCTTCCTCTCTGTAAAAATCAATAAAATATATTTTTAAAAAAATGATGAAGAAAAAGAACACAAATTACCAACATCAGAAATGAAAGAAGGGATATCACAGAGCCAACAGATATGGGTTGGAAGGGCTCAAACTAATCTCAAAATAAAAGCTAAAACTATAAAACTTCCAAAAGGAAACATAGGATAAAATTTTTGACCTTGGGAAAAGCAAAGATTTCTTAGGAAACAAAAAAGTATAAACCATAAGAAAATATAACAAATATAAGAAAATTAATATGCTGGACTTCATCAAAATTTAAAATGCTCTTCAAAAGACACTATTGAGAAAATAAAAGGCAAGCCACAATATGAGAGAAACTATTCACCATACATATATTTGAAAAAGGACTTGTATCCATTTTTTAAAAATCCTCTTATCTGTAATAATAAAAGTGTAATATGCAAATAGACTGAATGACTGAACAGCACAATGACCATCCGGATGACCATGCTATGACACGCACTGGCACCAGGCCAGCCAAGATGGGCCATCACCCCACCCTCCCTCCCTCAGAGGGAGGTCCAGGCCACTGGCCAGTGACACTGTGGCGGGTGTGTGGGGCCAGCCAGCAATTGCCCCACAAAGGGAGGCCCAGATCAGCCAAGCAATCATACCCCACGCCTATTGCCCTCAGAAGGAGGCAACTAGTGGTGGGGGAGGGGAGGACAGCGCCACACAGATGGCAAATAGTGGCAGCAGCTGGGGAAAGGAAAGCCCCGATAGACCCTGATCGCCAGCCAGGCCTAGGGACCCTACCTGAAGGGTCCCAGATTGCAACAGGGTGCAGGCCGGGCTGAGGGACACCCCACTCCCTGTGCACAAATTTCATGCACCGGGCCTCTAGTTATTCAATAAGAAAACAACCCAATGTTTTGAATGGGCAAGAAGATTTGAACAAACACTTCATAAAATGGCCAGTAATTGGTAAATGCAACTTAAAACCACAGTGAAACACCACTACATACCCATTAAAATTATTAAAATTAAAGAAGACTGACAATATCAATGTTGGTGAGGATGTGGAACAACTGGAACTCTCATACTTTGCTGGTAGTAATGTAAAATAATACAAACACTTAGGAAAACAGTTTGGCAGTTTCTTTACAAGTCAAACATATACCTAATACAACCCAGCCATTCCACTCATAGGTATTTACTCAGGAGAAATTAAAACATATATCACACAAAGACTTATACACAAGTGTTCATAGCAGCTTTATTACTAAAAACAACACAAATGTCTATCAAGAGATGAATGGATCAACAAAATGTGGCATATCCAAACAATGGAATACTATTTAGCAGTAAAAAGGAATGAACGACTGATACATGCAGCAACATGAATGAATCCTAAAATCATTCTACTTAGTGGGAAAAAAAAGATAGAAGAGTACATACTGTATAGTTTCATTTATATAAAATACTAGAAAATGCAAACTAACCTCTAGTGCAAGCATGTCAAACCTGAGGCATGCAGCCCGCCAGCCGTGAGTTTGACTAGTGGCATGCAATCAATCAGCAGTCCTCCGGAGCCAGGCAGTAAAAAAGAGGCATGAGGAAGACTGGGGGTGATGGAAATGTTTTATGTCTTTTTTTTTTAAAATTAATTTTATTGATTTTTACAGAGAGGAAGGGAGAGAGATAGTTAGAAACATCGATGAGAGAGAAACATCGATCAACTGCCTCCTGCACATCTCCCACTGGGGATGTGCCCGCAACCCAGGTACATGCCCTTGACCGGAATCGAACCTGGGACCTTTCAGTCCGCAGGCCGATGCTCTATCCACTGAGCCAAACCGGTTTCGGCAGGTTTTATGTCTTAACTGTAGTTGTAGACATTTCACTGGCATAAACATCTGTCAGATATCGCTCAGTTCTTCACTTTAAACTGATGCAGTTTATTACATGTTAACTAAACCTCAATAAACTTGGTATTAAAAAAGGAACAGTATTAAAACTCTGTAACAAATTTAAAAACCTTAATGAAATGACAAATTCCTTGAAAGAGACAAGTTGCCAATAAAACTAACTCAAGAAGATACTAAAATTGAATAGCCCTTCACAAATTAATTCAGAAAAAAATCTTTCCTACAAAAAGAATTCAATATCCACCTGGCTTCATTGGTGAATTCTAACAAACATTAAAGAAAGAAATAACAATTATAGAAAAACCAGAAACTAGGAGGAGAAAGCACTTTTGCATTTTATGAGGCCAGCATTACCCTATTAAAACCAGAAAAAAATGTAAGAAAATAAAACTACAGACCGATATCTCTTATGAACACAGAAAAATAGACTCTAGCAACATATCCTACCTAATAAAGAGGGAATATGCTAATTGACTGCCATGCCCTCACAAGATGGCGGCACCCACAGCCACAAAATGGCAGCGCCCAGTCTCCTCAGCCCCGCCTGGGGGCAGCAGGTGCTGCGCCTCATCCAGTCAGAGTCCCCCAGTCCCCTCAGCCCCGCCTCATCCAGCCAGAGTCCCCCAGTCCCCTCAGCCCCGCCTCATCCAGCCAGAGTTCCCCAGTCCCCTCAGCTCCGCAGGGGAAGGCAATTGGGGGCGATCGAGCCGGCAGGGGAGGGCAGTTGGAGGTGATCAGGCCAGCAGGGGAGGGCAGTGGGGGATGATCATGCCGGCAGGGGAGCAGTTAGGCATCAATCAGGCTGGCAGGGGAGTGGTTAGGGGGGGCTATCAGGCTGGCAGGCAGAGTGGTTAGAGGCAATCAGGCAGGCGAGTGGTCAGGAGCCAGCAGTCCTGGATTGTGAGAGGGATGTCCGAGATTGGAGAGGGTGCAGGCTGGGCTGAGGGAGAAACCCCCCCCCTCCTCTGTGCATGAATTTTGTGCACTGGGCCTCTAGTGAAAAGAATAATAGGCTATTTATGACTAAGGTTTATCCAGAAAGCAAGATTGGTTTTACATTTGGAACCAATTTATGTACTTCATCATAGTTACAGAGTAAAAGAGAGAAAAAAACTTGACTATGTAATAAATGAAGAAAAACCATATGATAAACTTAAACATTAACTCATGGTAGAAACTCTTAGAAAACCAGGAATATAAGTAAACTTCATCAGCCTAATAAAGAGGATTTATGAAAAACCCACAGTTGCCCAGCCAGTATGGCTCAATGGTTGAGCGTCAGCCCATGAACCAGGAGTTCAATGGTCAGGCATATGCCTGGGTTGTGGGCTCAATCCCCAGTAGGAGGCATGCAGGGGGCAGCTGATCAATGTTTCTCTCTCATTGATGTTTCTATCTCTATATCCCTCTCCCTTCCTCTCTCTCAAATCAATACAAATATATTTTTAAAAAACAAACAAAAAAACCATAGCTAATTTTGTACTTAATGGTGAAAGACTGAATGCTTTGTCCTTAAGACTAGGAACAAGCCAAATATGTCCACTCTCACCACTTCTGTTTAACACTGTACTGGAGATCTTAGCCAGTGCAATAAGGCAAGAAAACAATAAAAAGCATATAGATTAGAAAGAAATAAAACTGTCTCTATTAGTTGATGACATGATTGTCTAAAGAAGAGATGCTAGAATAAGTGAGTTTAGCAAAATCCAAAGGATATGAGGTCCAAATACAAAAATCAACTGTATTTCTAAAGACTATCAACAAATAATCATTTACAATAAAATCCAAAACCATGAAGTACTTAGGGATACATTTAACAATATGGGAAGACCTTTAACACAGAAAATTACAAAATATTGTTGAGAAGAACTAAAGGACTTCAATAAACGGAAAGCTATATCATGTTCATGGAAAGACTCAATATTGTTAAGATAGCAATCCTCTCTAAATCTTTTG